ATATATAAACACTGCACACCAGAACAACTAGACACAAGGAGTTTTTTCCTGAACGCCATCACTCTGCTAATATATAGGCTAACTCTACCCACTGCCAGGAGTTTGATCCTGAATGGCTGAAGATTGATTCAGCCTTCTATCTTTCCAAAGTCAGTAAAATGAGGACCCGGATTATTGGGGATAATTGCTGACTCTGTAACCGTTTAGGGAGTACTGTAAAGCACTTCAAAGTAGTATATAAATGTAAGTGCTATTGCTATTGCTATATGCAGTGAACATTTGTGATAGCAAGTTATCATGGAAGATAAACAATGGTGGCCAAAGCATTCTGTAGAAACCACAACCATGCCACATGCCTTATGATATCATTGTGCATGTGACACAAAAATTACACAATGTGTGTCATTTGTGATTGAAGGATACAGTTTCTAAGGATTATATCATGGATGTATAAAATAGTAAGAGGCTATATATGAGTTTAGTTTTGATTTGTTTTACAAGACTTGAAACCCTACAAATGTATAATATAAAACATTATTTATATTATCAAGGAAGACTATCATTGTAATACAGTTGAAGAAGAACTTAAAAATATAATTTCACAAATACTAGCTTACAATTGGTTTCATTTGAAAATATCCCAAAAGATTGTCTGAAGAAAGAATGATAACATGCAGTCTTAATAGTTTTTTATACTGATTCCCATTGATCCTCCTAGTATAACCAATTCCATAGTCTAGAAGTTGCAACTCAGTCTGCATATAAGCTTAGTATCCATGGGTTGAAATATTTAGCAAGATTTTGGTGGGGATGGTTTGTTCATGCCTAAAAAGAACAATGCACCATCAAGCCCAAGTTGTTAGACAAGAATCAAATATTGAACTCCATTTGAAAGCTCCATCATACAAGAGAGGAATATACAGTATTTAATTAAATATAATCTTTTCTACCTGTTTCTACACTGGCCTCAATTGTCCCCATCTCTAATGAACTAAACTGCATGTAACTGCTGTTGGTAAGGGGCAAGTATAGTATTAAACAAAGATGTTTTTTTAGTAATTTGGCCCATCATCCTATATTATAGTTTAATAAATTCATATTTAGGTACTGATTCACTTAGCCTACCTGAATTCTTTTTCCATTTGTCCAGAAAATTAAGAGTGATACATAGGTAATAATCATGTTGTTTCCTTGGAAACAAGATAGAAATGGTTTTGCTATGACCTCCTTTCAAGCTTTTGTTGACTCCTCAATTCTGCTACAATCCTGGGCTTTTCGGTTGTTTCCTATCCAAGTAGTAATCATATTCCAATCTGCTTAGGTAAGTTCAATTAAGAGATGCTGCCCACTGAGACAAGGCAGCCAAAATAATAATAATCGGCTCAAAAGGTTATTTGAAAAAAACCTGTTGATTATTTTCCTAAATTAAGAGAGCACAAGCTACGTATTCCATTCCATAATCTAAAAAGCTGACTTTTGAAATTGGAACCATTTTTAAAAGGCCTCTCCTACTAATCTTTCTCCCAGAAAAGATTCATGCTGAAAAAGGAGAGCCCTTGAGTAGCCAAAGTAAACTGTTTAGAGCATTAAAGATAAAAAGCAACAATTTGAATCATGCATGAAAAATAACCAGAACTGAGTGCAAACCATTTAAATGGACATAAAATGGCCTTCACATTATGCCAAGAGTTAACAGCTAGCAGCTTCATTTTGTGCCAAAGGAAACTTCTGGAAACTCTTAAAGGTCAACTTTATACAGTTTGCATTGCGGTAGTCTAATTGTGATTTGACCAAGTGTGGAAGAGTAAATTTACCACCCAGAGTGAAGCAGGCGCTTCTTTTCCCTCATGAAATCAAGAGTTTTGGTGCTGCCTGGGAAAGAGGGTTAAAACAGCAGCCCCACCCACTCCTTAATTGGAAAGTTTATCCCATAAAACAAAAGAGAAAGCCAGCATGTGTGAGTCAAAAAAAAAAAAATCAAAGAAGGTCAAGCCAAAAAGACAGCAAAGAAGCAGGAAAGAGAAACTTCAGCGCAAAGGCAGCAGTTTTCAGGGAGTGAAAGAAAACTGCAATTCTTGAAACTGCAAGACCAAGAAGCAGAACTGAGAAATGCAGAGGAAAACAGACCAGCCAGAATCTGAAAAGCAAAGCAGGCCCATTGCCCGCAGGGACCCAGGTGCAGAGCTCCACAAACCAGCTCCAGAAACAGAGGACTGTGAGTGCTGGGGTGGGGGAGGGGAGAGCAAAGACTATAGAGCAGGGCGTCCAACCTAGGCAAGTTTAAGACCTGTAGACTTTAGGCTGGCTGGGGAATTCTGGGAGTTGAAGTCCATGTGTCTTAAACTTTCAAAGGCTGATGTCATCTCTGCTATAGAGTAATGCAAAGAGTTTTCACATATAAATGCACTAGGTACTGGGATAGGAGATGAAGACCTGAAGGTAAAGAAAACACTTAAAGAGCTAAGAAATAGTTAATTTAGGAAAACATGATGCTAGAAACATGAAAATGGGAAGATAGGCATGGAATTTAGAGATAAAAATAGAACTTTAGCGATTAAATAAGATAGAAATAGTCGTCAACTTGAAAGTAAGGCTGTAGAATTAATAGGGAAATAGAAACAAATGCAGAATTGGAATTAAGGTTAGATGTTAAGGAATAGGAGTTTAATTTTGTATAATGTAATGATTTTTGTGGGGAAAACCAAATGCAGTCTTCGGGTTTGTTAGCTGGACCAGATTAAGAAAAATCCTAACACCAAGATTTGGGTTTCTGTGATATTAGCTTTAGTGCAAACTGATTTAGGTAACTGTTTATCTGAGTAATCTCTGGGAAATTGAGGCAAAGATTGATTTGTATTTCTCTGAGTATACAACTCCTTTAAAAACCAACCTGCCTGTGTAAGATACACAGATTGTGTGGCTCCACACTTAAATTTATTGTAGAGCCATTTGTTCAAGGCCGGGGGTGTGTGTCCAAGCTTGGCAGCTTTAAGACTTGTGGGCTTGACTGGCTGGGGGAATTCTGGGAGTTGAAGTCCATAAGTCTTAAAGTTGCCAAGCTTGGAGTCCCCTGTTCTAGGCTTTTACCTTGTGACATCTTTCTTCCTCTCTGCTTAGATCCAATGCAGTCCATTTTACAAAGTCTAGAGCAACAGCACGAAGAGGAGAAACGGTCAGCACTGGAGCGGCAGCGACTCATGTACGAGCATGAACTAGAACAGCTCCGGAGACGCCTGTCTCCAGAGAAGCAGCATTTCCGCACCATGGACAGGTTTTCCTTCCATTCTCCCAATGCACAGCAACGTTTACGCCAGTGGGCGGAAGAGAGGTGGGTGAAGGGAATGAACTTTGGAGGTCTGGTATTTTTCCCTGTTCTCTTCTTTGGAGAATACTCATCTTGGCATATGTTTGGATTAAGACTATAGATACATTTTATACCTCAGTGAATAAAATAACCTTTTTATTAGCAAAAAGGAAGTTGTTGCGTGCTACTGAATTGCATGTGGTCACTGAATGGAGGCACTTGGGCTATTGGCACAGACTTCTACGAACAAAGGATTTGGGCCTAAGGATGGGATATTGTGTGTATTTCATTTATTGCAGAAAAGGGCTATGAGGTTGATGGAAGTGAATTCCTACACATCAAATGGAGACTCCTAAGTGACACCCAAGAGTGCTGTCCAATAATGGGAAAGTCATGCAGAGATGGCAATGATCGTGTCTTGTGAATATTTATATAAATATACAAATATTATATAAATCGCTATCAAGCAATGCAGGATGACCGTCATTATGATGAGAAAAATTTGCAGAGTCAAGCCATATCATCTAAACTGTGTTGCTATAACTGGAAGGGAAGACTTCCAAACTTACTGGCCAGGAGTTCACATGTTCTAATGGTCAGAAAATGTATCCTTAATTCTAGGTTGCTTCTGTCCTTGATTAGTTTCCATCCAATGCTTCTTGTCCTGCCCTCAAATGCTTTGGAGAATAGTTTGATCCCTTCTTTCTGCAACCCCTTAGATACTGGAACACTGCTATTGTGTTATCTCTAGTCCTTCTTTTCATTGGTGCAAAAATAATTAACTGATTTGCCCCAGAGTAAAACATCCTTATCAATGTGATTATTGCAGTGTGTTTCTAAATATTTTCTTTTAAAGTCCATCCTCCTTTCTCTCTTTCCCTTGTATTGCAATAGAGAAGAGATGCTCAACCACAGTCTAAGGAAACTGAGAGAGCAGATTATGAAGGCCAACCTGTATGTTAGAGAAGCCAACTTCATTGTAGAAGAGATGGACAAAAGGACTGAATACAAGGTTACCCTCCAAATCCCAGCCTCAAGCCTTAATGCAAACAAAAAGGTAAGGCACTTAAGTCTATTCAGACACATACAATATCTTTTCTCCCAAGATATGGCCATCCAGACAAATATTTCATCCTAGGGTTCCAAAGGTGATATTTATAGTAAGCAGAATATAGACATTTTGTTTCTGTTGATCTAATGCAATGTGTATAAAATGGGAGTAGGCACTTGCTAGAGCAGGGCAAAGGGTAGTTCACAGCCAGTTTAAACTAGCAAAACCTGAGCAATTAAATTATTTGTTTAGTTATTGCCATTAAAAACATGCATGTATCTGCTTGCAGTGGCTATTGATGTGTGATTTTACTACTCACAGGCCAGGTTAATGGAACTAGTTAATGTCATGACTTATTAAAATCCTTTTCTGGGTTCACCTATTATACTGAATGATAAATTAACCAAGAAACCACTAAAGTACCAAAACCTTGAACCAAAGTTGAAGAACTTTTGCAAACCAACTGCTAGGATTTTAACTGACCTGGTTGGGCAAGTTCTGTGAATTGCTATGTGACTATGTAACCTGCATGACATTCCTTTTTACTGATATAAGTAAAAAGGCTGCAGACTCACCACTGTTTAAAAAAGGGAGGGGAAGCTCAGATTTCAAGAAAAGAATGTGGGAAATATATCAAGTTCTACGTCCTCAAAACAGACCCTACTGAAATTCAACTAGAGAGGAGAAAATGTTGAAAGAAATTGCAGGATATTATCTCAAATGGAGAGAATGTTTAATTTCACAGTGCATGGGATCATTTGCCTATTTGATGCTCCTATCAGTTATAAAAAAAAAAACCACACAAATCTTATAATAATGAATTGCTGATCCAAGCATCAGTCCAATTTAAATGTTTTATGTTCAATCTGTTATGTTAATTTTCTTAAAAGATTGAAAAATGCCTTTTGAAATGTAAATTTAGCAGTGATCTTTTTGTTATATTCTATTTGTTCAATTTTTATTTTATTTTATTATTTTATTTTCTCCCATCTCAACAACTCTTCTTGAGATTTGTTTTTAAAAAACACTGTGTGTGAGGGGAGAGAATATACCCTCAGGTAAATTTGTCTTGATTTTGAACTGAATATTTATTGTGGTCAATAGAATAGGAATAAATCCAAATAAGATGCTGAATCTTGGTTACAAGGAAAAATGGATCATATTACACAAACTCTGCCAAGTGCAAAAATTTAATATAACTTTCATTGCAGTATAATCTCTACCTTAAGGCCACTGACAAAACATGCCCACTTTAATAACATACTTGGAATGTGGTTAATCAACAAACATTTAATATAAAATTTGGCAGACTTGTCAGTTAATGAAGTTAATTGTGAGGCAATCATTCTGTGATGAGCTCCAATATAAAAATTTCCAAAACAAAAGGCTATATTTGACTATTTCACCTCTTATTACGCACACAAATTTGTGCAGAAGTAAATATTTTTTCTATCTTCTCTGGAAGGTGTCAGAGGATAATACAATAATCAAGCCAAGAAAAATCTTGCCAATCTTGAGTTTACTCAAGTTCTCAAGATAGGCAGGTAACAAAATGATTTTTCATTATTTGCATTGATTGTTCTTTCTTTCTTTCTTTCTTTCTTTCTTTCTTTCTTTCTTTCTTTCTTTCTTTCTTTCTTTCTTTCTTTCCTTCCTTCCTTCCTTCCTTCCTTCCTTCCTTCCTTCCTTCCTTCCTTCCTTCCTTCCCTCCCTCCTTCCTTCCTTCCCTCTATCTTTCTTTCCTTCCCTCTTTTCTTCCCTCCCTCTGCCCTCCCTTCCTTCCTTCCTTCCTTTCCTTCCTTTCCTTCCTCCATCTCTCCCCCCCTCCTTGCATTTCTTCTTCCTTCTGGGTGTTTTGTAGCGGGGTGCAATACTTAGTGAGCCAGCCATTCAGGTGAGACGAAAAGGGAAAGGCAAACAAATCTGGTCCCTGGAGAAACTGGAGAACCGGTTGGTAGATATGCGAGACCTCTATCAAGAATGGAAAGACTGCGAAGAAGACAACCTGGTATGTGAAGAGATTTGGGGACAAACCTTTTCTAAATTGGTAAAACATGATTGATCAGCTTAGTTTTCTCTATATGTGTTGTATTGCTCATATTTTCCTCAACTAACATAGCTAACAGCCTTGGAAATTTGAGTCAGTTTTGGCTCTTGGAGACTGCCTGGACAAGTTTTCTTGGCAAGATTTCAGAAGTGGTTTGCCATTGTCTGTTTCCTAGGACTGAGAGAGAGGGTTTGTCTGGCCCCAAGTCACCCAGCTTTGTCCCTGAGGTGGGACTAGAATTCACAATCTCCCAGTTTCTAGCCTGATTCCCTAATCACTACACCAAACTGGATCCCAACAGCCTTGGATAACATTAAATTAAACTCAGCACTCATAGAAGGTACATGATGAGACCCGGAGATAAAGGAACATGTATCCATGTATGTGATCCTTGGAGAAAATTCTTCTTTTCCTGCTATTATTTTTAAATTAAGTATGGGCTGAAAATCCTTAAAATATTTTTTTTTTTGCCCCAAAGTTGGGCGGGATAGCAATAGCAGACTTATATACCACTTTACAGTGCCTTACAGCCCTCTCTAAGCATATTGCCCTTAACAATCTGGGTCAGCCTCTTGCCCCAATAATCTGGGTCCTCATTTTACCCACCTCAGAAAGATGGAAGGCTGAGTCTACCTTGAGCCTGGTGAGATTTGAACTGCTAAATTGCAGGCAGCCGGCAGGCAGCCGAAGTAGTCTGCAATACTACATTCTTAACTACTGCGCCACCGTGGCTCATGCTGATACTAAGAGAACAAATAAAAAGATCCTTTAGCTTTTGTATTGCTGGGAAGAAGAAGACTTGAAAACTGAGAAAGCCTAGATTATTTTTTGTTCTCCTGTGTTGTTGGGCACAATGTTTAAATCCCAGTTATACCCTGAGAATGATGCTGCACCTTGGCACTAGGCTTCTTTGAAGGTGAGAAAATGTCAAAGGTTCCTATAGGCTTGAACATCACTCTGTCCTTTAAGAGTGGCCATCCACTTACCTGCCCAGCCATCTCATACATGCATTAAACACGGTCAACCCAACCAGTGAGAAAATGAACATGATGTTGAGAGGAGAAGGATCAGGTTCACCACAGCATTTTTACTTATCTTTCATGTGACATGTTCAGTTTGCAAAGGAAATATTTATCTGTGGCTTTTATTGTACAAAGTGGATCATGATCCTAAATCATACCGTGATTTTTATTTTATGAGAGTCTGTATGGTTTTTCATAATTAATTGCTGTATCTTTGAAGTTCCAAAAATAATTACATAGACTGAACCAAAATAATGTTTATCTGTGGCTTTTAAATAGGGCCATTAGAAGTTTGAACTCTTTTCTTTTAACTAGGTAATTCTGCGGTGCTCCCATGAACTCTTGTCTTTAAATATATTTCAGTTATAACAATACAGTAACACAATAAAACAAGCCTTAAAGGAAATAACCCAGAACCCTTCTTTTCTTCCTCTGTTTTCCTTCTTTTCTCCATGGTCTACTGAGCAAAGTGAAAGGAGGTGCAGTGAATATTTTTTTTTCCTGGTCTGGTAACTTTTCAAGCTCTCAGGTAGAATTTTTTCCCCTTCACTCAAGCAAGGCACCTGTATTTTGCACAGGTCAGAAAGAGCGCTGAGAAAATACGGACCCCTTACATCCTGGAAATAAACTGTTTCAACTCCTCCCCTCGGGACGCTGCTACCAGGCATTGCCTGCCAAAACAACTAGGACACAGGGACAGTATTATCCTCATGCCCTCACTCTGCTGAACTCCCAAGTTTCACAGTACTATCTATTGTCTATTTATCCGTGTTGTATGGCTGTAGTATTACTATCCTTCTTATCTTCCTTACTAGCCCCATTTACTGGTGTTATGATGAAGATGATGATTGCTCCGTTGCTTTGCATGTATACTGAGAGCTTTTGCACCGGAGACAAGTTCCTTATGTGTCTAATCACACTTGGTCAAAAAAAGTATTTTGGTCTATTCTTATACATACCTACAGTCCTCTCTGAATGGATTCATAACCTTCTTTCCTAAAATAGCTACAGCGAACTACTTCTGGGTTGTAAATAGAATCTGGGTTGTGATTAGAATCTGGGTTGTGATTGGGCTAAGACAAAAACAAATCACATGCAATGTAGGCAGCTACTTTTGGTATGTCTTCCTGTGCAATGCTCACAGGTGATTAAATCAGCCTTTTCAACATGCTGTCCTTCCAGAATTCCCCTCTAGCATGGTCTTTACTCTGGAAGGCTTAACATTGTGGAAGGCTGGATTAAACCATATTAGAGACACCCATGTTAAGCTGACTGAAAATGAACTGCTAAGAAAGAGAACGGGTCTTTCTCTTAAGATGTCTGTTACAAGGGAGAATATGATTCCCCTTGCCAAATTGAACTTCTGTCATAAGAGGATCTAATCATCATAGACGTTGGTTGTTCATTCTTTTTTCCCTTCTATTCAACTCAAGGTTATGAGGTCTTATTTTCGGCGAGCAGATCCTTTTTATGATGAGCAAAAGAACCACAGCCTCATTGGAGTTGCCAATGTCTTCCTTGAGTGTCTCTTTTATGACGTGAAGCTGCAATACGCTGTGCCCATCATCAATCAGAAAGGAGAGGTATCTTTCTGCATAGTCAATTCTTAATCATTATCTAGTCACATAATTACTCAGTTATTTAAGAATCACAGCTCTGTGCACAATTACTATTGATTCTCTGTCTTTTGACATAGATGCCTGGAATATAGGCAGTTGCATTTAATTGATCCTTAGTTCTTCCTAATTTTCTTGACCCTGAGTTTGTCTTGGAAGGAATTGATTTGATAATCATGTGAACTGTAGAAGCAGGCATGACAAAGCTGATTTTTGAATTTGGGATAAGCCCTTATTCTCTACACAGATTTCCTATAGGACCCATGTTTGACCAGTGTACAAGAAAACCAGAACTAGTTCTCATTAAACTGATAAACCTGTTTCTGAGCCATACCATTCCTACAGCAGGTAGAAATGGAGATGAAGGAATAATCATCTCCAAAACTACTTCACATATAGAATTCAGCACATTAATCTCATTGTTTAGGTTTATACTGAGAAGCTTTCATTTTTGTGATATTTTTTCTTTGGTTTAGTTTATTTTTATGTGGAGAGAGAAAGATTGCAAAATTGTCATTAAAGAACCTGCTGAGAGTCTCCCACTCTTTTTTGGTACTGGATACAGACTAGGCAACAATCCTTCTGGTTTTTTTTTGGAACTCTATCCCCTCCCCCTTTCCCCAAAGTACCTGCAGATCCCACTCTTGACAAAGAAGAGGGAGTCAACCCTCCAAAGCACCTAAGGGCAGGACAAGAAGTAATGGATGGAAACTTATCAAAGAGAGGCCCAACGTAGAACTAAGGAGAAATGTCCTGACAGTTAGACCAATTAATAACCAGTGGAACAACTTGCCTCTAGAAGTTATGAATGCTGCAACACTGGAAGTTTTAAAGGAGAGATTGGACAACCATTTGTCTGAAATGGTATAGGGTTTCCTCTCTGAGCAGGGGGTTGGACTAGAAGACCTCCAAGGTCCCTTCCAACCCTGTTATTCTGTTATTCCATTGTGCCTTTGGCCAGAATGAGTGAGGGACCCATGATGATTTTTAATATGAATGTTACTGTATTAAGGGAGGTTTGCTTTAATTGTATTGTTATTGCTCTGTTGAGTGAGGCAGTTAGAAATGCTTTTAAAACAAACTTCTCCTAAGCTTAATACTCCTTTTGGGCAAACCTCCCTTGAAGGACAATCTCTCTCGACATCTCTGATATTATCACTGAGCTCTATGATCCTTCAAGTTGAAATACAAGAAAGAAGAGATTACTCTTCCCAGTTTATTAACATTTGCTTCTCCACTGGACTTTCAGAGAGGATTAATCCCTTGATAATTGTCTGTTCTTGGAATATATACAACATGAATATTTGCATTACTTTGTTGGTGCCACATCTCCCAGCTCAGGGCATAAGAAGCTACATGCAGAACGGCATAACCATTTTTTTACTTTTAATTTCTTGGATAAGATAAATGCATGATAGAGTGATTTTCCCCTTGCATGAAACAATCACTTCAAAACATAATACTGCAATAGGCATCCCAATAAATCATTTCAAATCCAGTGCAGGGCAACAGCTCAGATAAATACATAGCAACAAAATTTATCAGGGCTAAAAAGAGCTTGCAGCCCCAGAATTTAAAGTAGATTACAGACATTAAATTATAGATCTTAAAAAGCCCAAGAGAAAAATGAAAATTGAAGGCCAGTATTTCCCGAGGCAGAACAGTGGAAAACTTTTGAATCCCTCTGAAAAATCTGTACTGCTGTTTGGGGCAGTGGGGTTTCATGGGAGTTTTGCTAATGAATATTTTATTTCCAATAATGTAGTTTTATTGCTTCCAAGAACCTTACCCCTCCTTCTCTGTGGGATTTGTGCCTTATCAGATAGCAGGTCGCCTGCATGTTGAAGTGGTACGTGTGAGCGGAGACATCGGGGAGAGAATTGCAGGAGGCGATGACAGTTTGGAGGGCTGCTTTGAGAATGATCTCCAGGAACACAAGTTAGTGTGCATGGTGAGTTCTCTGAAAGACCACACCTGGAGTACTGCATCCAGTTTTGGTCACCACACTATAAAAAAGATGTTGAGACTCTAGAAAAAGTACAGAGAAGAACAAGCAGGATGATTAGGGGACTGGAGGCTAAAACATATGAAGAACGGTTGCAGGAACTGGGCATGGCGAGTCTAGTGAAGAGAAGGACCAGGGGAGGCATGATAGCAGTGTTTCGATATTTGAGGGGCTGCCACAGAGAGGAGGGGCTGCCAAACTATCTTCTAAAGCACCCGAAGGCCAGACAAGGAATAATGGATGGAAACTGGACAAGGAGAGATTCAACCTGTAAATAAGGAGAAACTTTCTGACAGTGAGAACAATCTACCAATGGAACAGAAGTTGCCCTCGGAAGTTGTGGGAGCTTCATCACTGGAAGCTTTCAAGAAGAGACTGGACTGCCATCTGTCAGAAATGGTGTAGGATCTACTTGGGCGGGGGGTTTGACTAGATGACCTACAAGGTCCCTTCCAACTCTGTTAATCTGTATCTGTTCTGAAATGGTATAAGGTTTACTGCCTGAGCAGGGGGTTGGACTAGAAGACCTCCAAGGTCCCTTGCAACTCAGTGATTCTATCCTATCCTATCCTCTATCCTATCCTATCCCATTCCCATTCCCATTCCATTCCTAATTTTGCTTTTCCAAAACAAAACAGTTGGACGAAGAAAAGCCTGCTTGTCCTGAACTGTGTGCTCTTTGGATTATAATTTTAATTATAGTTATTGTGGAGAGCCGGTTTGGTGTAATGGTTAAGGCATTAGGCAACAAACCGAATTAAGGCCCTGAGTTCTAGTCCAGCTGTGAAGTCAGCTGTGTGATTTTGGACCAATCCCCCACTCAGTCCTAGGAAGCCATTTCTGAAACCTTGCCAAGAAAACTATAGTTGACTGGAGTCCACTCTGACTTAAAAAAAGGCTGTTGTGACTGCTGGGTGTGCTGGCTAGAATTGATGCATGTTGTACAATATGTTGGAAGGGCAGCAACTGGAGGAAATGTGGCCTTAGTTATTTTTATGTATAACTAGAGCTGTGAGCCAAAGTAATCTGTCAAGGTTGATCACTATTGTGTGTGCCTAACTACCCCCATTTGAATGTACTCATGTACTCATTTTATTGTGGAAGTTTTGTTTAAACCAAGAGTTTGGTAGCTTAAGGTGCATAACTTTTACTGTTTTTTTTTCAATGGTCACAAAGACAAATATGTCAGTTGCATTGGAGCAATACAATTTGTATTGGAGCAAAGTCGTATCTTCAAATCTAGTCTTCTGGTTTAGTTTCTGTTTTATAGTGAAACACCCTTTGAGATAGCAGGCCTGTTCCTATGCTGACCTCTGGTGGAGATGTTTATTTCAAGGCATAATTTAAGACAGATTTTAGTTAAATACTGTCTATTATGGAAGCTTCTGATTTTATAAGGTAGACATTAGCCTTGAACAAACTAACTATGCTACATTTTGTGTTGAACTGTTATTTTGTTGTCAAGATCTTTATTGAATTATAAAGTATTATAAAATACCAAAAAAGTAAATAGAAAAGCAGTGGGGGAAAGGAAAAAAGTGAGGAAAGATAAGAAAAAAGAAAGAAAAAGAGGCATTGACTTCCAACTCTCTCTGTTGCAGTAAAATATAAAGCATTAACATCAAATCACAACTTTTTGCTTTTTCATAATAATATGAACAAGCCATTTCTATAAAGATATATTGAACTTTTATTGTGAATGCACCCTATTCATTATTTATTGTAGTGACCTCTGTATGTGTTTTATGTGCCTCTTTTAATCCCCCAGATTAAAATTCTTCAAGCTACTGGTTTGCCTCAGCATCTCTCCAATTTTGTGTTCTGCAAGTATTCTTTCTGGGACCAGCTGGAACCTGTGGTGGTTGCCCCTGAAATGGATCCTTTTTTGTCTCCCGTCAGCAAGGAGCCACAGTGCATGGTTGTCTTTGACCATTGCAATGTAATTGTTTTTGTTGCTATCTCAGAGTTACCACTTTAATTTCATGATTAAAGTGCTTGCCAGGATGGGTGGGCAAAATTTTTTCTTTCTAGTCTAATTCTGGTATGATGCTATGCTATAATGCAGAGGTCTCCAAACTTGGCAACTTTAAGACTTGTGGACTTCAACTCCCAGGATTGTTGACAAGTTTGGGGACCCCTGCTGTAATGTTTATATGTATGTGGGGGAGGGGGGAACAGAGGTATGGTGTTAATATATATTACATATTACAATATAGACTATGACTGACCTAAAAATCATTATGGATTGTTCAACGAATCATGGTTTTAAAAATTCTGACTCGGTATTTCATAGGATATGTATGTGTCTCATTTTAAGCTTGAAATTCTGCTAGTAGTAATAAAATGGGAATGCTTGGCAGCTCATTCTTTGAAAGAAACAAACCAGATACTTAGCATAACATCCAAATGAAAGATACCGATTTTTTGCACCTAAATAATTTATTGTATTCATAAGCCAGTTCTAAACCGACTGTTAGCTTATGAATCTTGTCATGTACAGTCATAAAGAATTGTACTCCTGCATGTCACATTCTTTCATTGGTACTGTTTATATTTACCTGTAACCAGGATTGAAAATATGGTTTCAATAAGCACGTACCTAATGACTGAATATCAGGATTCCTGGCCTTAAAGTGGCATTGCTCCAAATCTCTCTCTTTTTTCTAGCATTTATTAGGCTGAACGTTATATATATATGCTCTACCTATTTATTTAGAATATTTCTAGGATGTCACATAATTGGAATTCTCTGGATCACTTCCATTAGGAGTTAAAACAATAATTAATTTTTTTTTAAAAAACTATAACTAGTGGCAGAAATTTTTAAAACTCAGAAATCAGAAAATATCCTTATTTTTTTATCATATATAGGTAGAACTTTGAAACTCTAGAAATTTAAAGTTATCAGGTTCTTGAAGAGCTGTGAAAATTCTTTAAAAACTTCTATGTGAAAAATCTCAATAAGCCTGAAATAAAGGGGAAAATGATTGTTCACTGAAAAGAATATAAAGTAGGCTGGGCTTCTATAGGAAAAAAGCTTTTTATAACCAAGATTTCAGCATTGGAAGAAATGCCGTTTTCCTTAGTAGACACCCTCTGAATTTCATTTTATGATTCTACAAAAGACTAAAGTCCAGGGAGAAAATGAGAGAGGGTGCGACTCTTCAGATAAGAAAGTCCCAACCGTTTAGAGCTTTAGAAACCAAAACCAGCATTTTTCATTGCATCTTGGAACAAACTAGAAACAATAGGAAAGACAGCACAGTAAGGTAATACAATTGTCCCAGTTAACAAACGTCTAGCCCTGGGAAACATGTCGATCTGGCTTACTGTGTCTTATTTGCTGAGCTACAGTGTTTTCCAAGGATCATTTTTCTTCTGGGGACTCTTAAAAGTAAAAAGGCTATTCTGAAAAAGCCTATCTCAAACCCTCAGATCTCAATCATTTTTTTTTTCAAACATTTTTTCCACAACAGTTTTCTAATATAAGCAAGTCCTTCAAGCCTCTTTCATACAGTCTAAAGCAGGGGTATCAAACTCAAGGCCTGCAGGCCGGATCTGCCCCATGGGGTGCTTAGAACTGGTCCGCAAGGGCTGCCATGGAAACAGCAAAGGACCGGCCCACAATGCCTCTGGCAGCGAAAATGGAGCTCACGTGCAGCCCTCCCGAGCTCCGTTTTTGCTGGCAGCAGGTTGCAGGAGGCCATCCCAGCCAAAAACAGAAACTGTGAGCCCGTTTTCACTGGCAGAGCACTAGAGCCACCACAGGTGCTGTTGACACAAGTGATGTCAAGCTGGCCATGGCCCCCCTAGCCACGCCCCCCCCCCGTTCCACTGAGGTCAAACACAACCCTGATGGGCCCTCAATGAAATCAAGTTTGACACCCCTGATCTAAAGCATTCATACCATGCCATTAAAATTGAAATCAATCCTTACAATGACTTATAAATTTGAAATATTCTGATTTTTTATTTTAAAAAGCCCTTAGTTAAACAAAAAAATAGAAAAGCAATACAAAGTATTATAAAACAAATTATAATTCCTTTTTTCCAGCACTTTTTAAATGCTGTTCATATCCCTTTAAAAACAGTTTATATTAATGTCAGCACCCAAGTAGTCCCGTTCTTAATGTTGACCAACTATATCTCAGCTGCTTCTGGCACTGATCATAAAACCCAGCGGATTCAGATTGTTGAAAGCGACTCTTGATGTGATTTAGGCGGTTCCCTTTCTGTGTGTAACGTTGCATTCTCCACCACACCATCTTGAAGACAGCAGGTTCAGGAAAGCTAATTTAGTAGATAGAAATGTTTTTAAAGAGTTTCTCATAACTCAATACTATTCAAATCATAACAAGAATTCAGCATAGCAACCCTACATTATTATTGCCTTTGTATTGCAAATGGGCAATGCTGATATACTAGTTGAAACTGATAAAAACAGTATCTATGCATATTGAAAGCTCCAAATTGTAAGAGAAAGTATATTATCAAGAAATACATATACATACATACATACATACATACATACATATATTGTGTGTGTATATTATTCTTGATAATATATTTTCTAACAACTTGGAGCTTTCAATATGCATATATAATTTTTCCAAAAGACTGCTGGTTAATTGCCTGTCGAAGCTGTACAATCAGGCAACATCACATTGAAGAGAGAAATGAATTCATCATAATGAAAAGCAATAATAAATCTCCAAAAGTAGGACAGCAAATTCCATCCATTAATTTTGCTATGTTTCCCCCTGTGGTTTGCTTCAGGATTCCAAGCATAAAGCTTTCTAAATTGCTCTCTGGATCCTTCTGGTACTCCATTTATCATAGTGATTTAAGCTTTCTGTAAAAGTTGCAGATCTCAGCTGTTGACTGTTCCAGTTCAGGTATCCTGTTGGGACTAATGTATGTTAACATGTTTGCTCCCTTATTTTAGCGTCTATATGTTGCAATAGTTGGGAAGGAAGGGAACGATGCATTATTATTTTAATCCTTTTCTGACCAGGAATTCTCTGTCAATATCACTGAAGATTTTATGGAATATCTTTCTGATGGTGCCCTAGCTATTGAAGTATACGGGCACAAGCACTGTGATTCTCGCAAAATCCCAGCACTGTGGGATTTAGGAATAATTCAAGCCAAAACAAGAAGCCTCCGAGACAGGTAAAAGAGATGGCACTTAGCTGATGAACGCATTTAAAATTTGTGAGGAAGAACAGTGTAGAAGTTAGAGGAGAAGATTTACAAGCAAAATATGAGTTATTGTGCACTTTCTTCTGATCTTCCAATCTATTCCCAAAGGCCACTGGGGGTGGAGGCATTACTACCTTCTCTCCTTCTTGTTTGCATTCTGCCACAACTCTTCCCCCTACTCTTTAATCATTGGCTTTCTAAAATCTCAAGATTCTATTATAACTATATTAGGAATGGAGTAGTTTTCAATTCAATTCAATAAGTCGCTCTTTTCAAAATGTAAATGCCAATGTTGGCAAAATTTGATACTCTAAGTAACTTGGGCATAACCACAAGGGAAACTTAAATGTGTTTTCCCAACTGAAGTGAAGCTGCACTGAAACTATTTCCCTTTTTAGTGTTTCTTTCACATGCATGCACACATATGCTCCCTTTCTTTCTTTCTTTCTTTCTTTCTTTCTTTCTTTCTTTCTTTCTTATATACACTCCCTCTTCCTCTCTTTCACACATACATCCTTATACTTGCAAACATCTCTTCTCTTGGTGTATAGTTTCCAAAGCAAAGTAAAATCTTTGAACACTTTTCCAAAGGGCATAGTGTTTCATTTGTCTTAAAAATTGTGCTTGGTAGGTGGAGTGAGGTCACTCGCAAAGTGGAGCTATGGGTTCAGATTCTGGAACTCAATGAGAATGGAGAATACTGTCCAGTAGAAGTAACTCCAGCAAAGGATGTACATTCAGGTGGCATTTTTCAGCTCAAGCAGGTAAGATGGTAAAGACCATCAATAATGTCAATAGTTGTTACTTTGCCTCTCTTTTTAGAGAAGTGGTTGATCTGACTACATAAACACTATGAATCTGGCTTTTGTCAAATGATGTTCAGGCTACTCAGTTCTTCCTGTGGTAGCATGAACAAACATACAGTGGGCTACTTAGCATCACATTTTTCCTTCCCATTATTTGCTCTGCTGTTCTAAACACCTCTAAGGGAGGCCAAGCTTGTTCACATTACAGAATTCTTCCCCTTGATATACTGTAGAAAAATCTCAAATTCCTTGGACATCCCTTAACTGGATTTTGAACATTTTAATTTGGACTTCTCGTCCCAAGCAACAAAGTACGTTGTTTCCAAGACTAGAAAATGTATGTAATTTATATAATTTGCATGATTATAGCATTAATGTTCTACATTTATTTTATTTATTTATTTTGTCAAACAATTATTAGATAACAGGTATAAGTATAAACATGGTTATAAATACATGAAATGGATACATATAAGAAAAAAAGAAACAAAAAAGAAACTATAGGACAGGGACGGTAGGCACGTTTTGGTGCGTTTATGCACTCCCCCTACAGACCTCTTAGGAAAGGGGTGAAGTCAATAGTAGACAGTCTAATGTTGAAGATTTTGGGGTTTGGGGAACATCTCTTCAATTAATTTGTGTAATGGATGCAAATGAAGTAATTTAACGTATATTTTAAATTAATGACTATCCCTTCTACCATCTGAGGTTTTAGTTAGTTTTCTATAGAAAAGACTCTGTGGACTGAAGAAGACTTCTCCCTAGGTGAATCTGACCAGCTAAGCTTTTAGATGCATTTGCACAAAATAGAAATCTTAGCATCAACCTTCAATAAGATTAGCATTGGGCAAGTTAAGTCCAATTGGATACTTCTGCTTCAGTATATGAACAGAAGATGAATTAATTCAGTTACTAGGTTATGCATATTATGTGAAAGCAGCCAATGTTAGAATTCATTCCTTTGATCAGTTGCCATTAATCACATGCACGTGAATGAATAAGCATATGTGAACGAAGAAGACAAGTTGCTCCAAACCATGTTACCATTGCTCTATCTGTACTTTCTAAAGCCTACACCAGGGGTCCCCAAACTTGACAACTTTAAGACTTGTAGAGTTGAAGTCCACGAGTCTTAAAGTTGTCAACTTTGGAGACCTCTGGCCTACACCAGTAGTTACAGAGCAGTTCTAGTATAGCTTTCCCCATCCTAGAACCTTCCAGTTGTTTGGCATCTGCTACTTGCAGCAGTCCCTCCCCATTCCAATTCTGCAAGTTGCAGTCCCGACACACTGCAAACACTCACCTAGTAAATGGAACGTTTTTCATGCTCAGCTTTCAGGAATAGTGTGTGAGTGTTTTGTTTCGCAGACTTAGGATAAGCTCTTAGTCGAGGATTTAGCTCGACAGTTTACCACCAAGTTTACATAGAGTAAAGGCCTAGGTTGCAGTGGTGCCCCAACAAACTCAGATAACTGTGTTGAAAAAAGACCTTTAGTGGAGATCTTGGAAAGTGATGCTAGTCAAAATTAAGGAATGCTAGAATGGTAGAGTAATTGTCTGATTATCATGCTAAGGCAGTTTTATAATTTTGTGATTTTAGTGTTTTATGATTATAAAACTGCCTTAGCATGATAGTCTTAATGCAGACAGTGTTTTCGATTTGCTGTTCTCTCTCCCCCTGAGCAATTTGGAATGAGAGGGCAAATGGTTTGATTAATCAATTTATCAATTTGAACGATCAAGATGCTGAGACTTCCTGACCACTTCTTGCCAGCAGAGGTCGCCCTTACTCCTTGGTCTTCCTATACTACTTTTTATAATATTTTCTCTGGATGTGCAGGGACAGTCACACCGAATCCAAGTGGAAGTGAAATCTGTGCAAGAATCAGGAACATTGCCTCTCGTGGAAGAATCCATCGTATCTGTAGCAGTGGGCTGTGTGCAGATCAGAAATATCAAGTCACCAAAAAGTCATGAGAATTATCAGGTAGAAGATTCTTATTACTGCATACCAAAGCAGTTAAGTGTGTTCGTGCATATGTGTCAAATCCACTCACAAAAAAATGTCCATCTGTAAATCATTGGCAGGGAACTTTTCTCTGCTTCAGCTTCGGGAATGAGTGGGTCATTCTGAATTATTTAGACAAATAAGCTTACTGCATTTCTATATCTCCGCTGCGATTTAACTTACAGAACTGCCATGCAGAATGGAATGGTGCATTAGAACCCACTTTCTTGAGCTCATTAGAGTTTTGATATGTGCTGAGTCACATGCATCTGTGTGAGACAGGGAGCAGTACTGTTTGAAAGCTGGAGGTTGAATGTTAACACTGTCAGTGAATGGTGTTCTCTACACCTGCTTTCAGAAAGACAATAATGTACATGTGTATATGTATTTTGAATGTAGAGAACAAGTTTTGGGTGTTTACCAATTGGCTGGAGCAGAGGACTTCCCATTGATCAAGCAATCACTATGGCCATGAAGCATCCTTTTTGTATATGTTTGTGTGTCTTTGAGTCAGCATTGGACAAGTCCCTGTGGTTTTCTTGGCAAGATTTCAAAAGTGATTTGACATTGCCTCCTTCCTAGAGCTAAGACAGGGTCACTGTGCTGGCTTTTTGCTTAAGGCAGGACCTTCTGGTTTCTAGAGTCTTAAGCACTACATCAAACGAACTCAGAGTATCCATTTACTAGAAGGCAAATAGATGAGATTTCCTCCATCCATCTCCTTGGCTGCACAGGATGCAAGAGTCCTCGGTGCAGACGTTTCACTACCAAACTAGGTAACATCATCAGTGCTCATGGTTTATTGGTGCATACAATGCGTTCCATAACTCAAGTTAGCCTCTTATCATTTTCCTGAGCAAGAAGGCAGAATTCTTAACAAAGCATCAGGCTGCAGCCAGCCACAATTTTTGAGGCCTGCTAGCATTCAGAACTTGAACAAAAATACTTCATTTAGTCCTATATAATGCTTAAAATAGAATAACAGAGTTGGAAGGGACCTTGGAGATCTTCTAGCCCACCCCCCTGCTCAGAGAGGAAACCCTATATCATTTCAGACAAATGGTGATCCAGTCTCTTCTTAAAAACTTCCAATGTTGGAGCATTCACAACTTCTGGAGGCATTTGTTCCACTGATTAATTGTTCTAACTGTCAGGAAATTTCTTCTTAGTTCTAGGTTGCTTCTCTCCTTAGTTTTATTAGTTAGATTAGTTCCCATCCATTGCTTCTTGTCCTGCCCTCAGGTGGTTTGGAGAATAGATTACTCTCTTGTCTTTGTGGCAACCCCTGAGATATTGGAACATTGCTATCATGTCGCCCCTAATCCTTCTTTTCATTAAACTTTAAGAGAAACAACTTGTGATAATTTTTTACATACTCTAATAGCTATTTTAAAGAGCTGCTGGAACATTTTTGTCCCAGAATTGCAGCACTATTCTATCTTTTTCCCCCAATAACAATTGGTTCAAAAATAAACTATAAATGGGAGTGTTCCTCTACCATATGGACCCATTAACTGAGAGTCTTTCCTTGTACATAATATATACATGTTTAATATAAATTTGGCTGCCAAAATTTTGGAATTTATGTGACTGCATGGTCTTTACATAGGAGGAAGATGATGACATGGACAGCTATCAGGTAAATATGTTGTGATTAGTTTCTTCTTTGAATTATTTAGCTTTTTTCACTAGAAAAATAACAATATCTAATCAACATTATATTCTACCCTTGATTCAATATTATATTTTCTAAACAAAAGTTATTATTGTTATGGTCATTAATCAAATAAGATAATTTTAATTTAATTTTAAAAAAACATGGTAAGAATAAAATAAGTCTGGGCATAGTACTGAAACAGCATTGGTTACACTTGTGGACTACTTTGGAAGATTTATGATGGGGATAGAGCTTTGGATAGTGAGATAGGAAGCATATACATTTAATAAATAATTATAAATTTAATAAATACATAAAATGTATCTTGTCAGTTGGATTCTTGATTTCTGGTCAGTTTTCAAACCATCAGTCATTGTATCCTTCTCAACTGGCTCAGAGGATTGGGAAGGAATGGCACAAAATAAAGTTTCCTTCACTGGCCTGTTCCAGATATTGGGGAGTGCAGTCTGGCCCTAGACCCCCCTCCGGCAGGGCTCTAAATTCTCTTCATTACTGTTTAACATTAACATGAAGCTGCTGGGCAAGGTCATTCAGTGACATCCAGATACATATATTATCAGTTCACTGATGATGGTAAAGGTTCCCCTCGCACATATGTGCTAGTCGTTTCCGGCTCTAGGGGGCGGTGCTCATCTCCGTTACAAAGCCAGAGAGCCAGTGCTGTCCGAAAATGTCTCTGTGGTCATGTGGCCAGCATAACTAAATTCCAAAGGCGCATGGAACTCTGTTACCTTCCCACCAAAGTGGTCCCTATTTTTCTACTTGCATTTTTACATGCGTTCGAATTGCTAGGTTGGCAGAAGCTGGGACAGGTAACGGGACAAAAAAAATCACTGATGATACCCTGATGTGTATCTTAATTCTGGGCCAATCAAGCATTGTCTCAGTGTTAGTAGATTGCGGGAGTCTGGAGGGAGATAGTAAAACTTAATCTCAACTATACAAAACAAGTGGATATGGATTTGGACGATTTCAGTTGTTAGAATTAGTTCAGGTTGCATTACCCCTAGTAGAACTGAAGAGCAATTTGGGAGTTCTAGACTCCTGGTTCATGCTGGAAGAACCACCATGGTGAGGAAGATCTTTGCATTACCGTAATCCCTCTTGGGTATCAATTGTACTCATTCCTGGATTGGGAGACCCTCCACAGTAATTTGTATCCTACTTATCTGTTGCTTGGACTATGGTTACAAAATCATGTTGAAATTCATTTGAAGAACACTTGGAAACTGTGGCTGGTCCAGAATGAGGCAGTACAAGTAGTTGTAGGCATATGGCATTCCGCTCATGTTCCACTGCTATTGCACAAGCTGCATTGGTTACCTATGGCCTTACAAGTGCAACTAAGGGTATCTTTAGCACATTGCTTTTTTTTTTTTGGCTTTACTTTCAGTGGCTGTTTAATTGTCCTGAGAGCTAAGTTTCAAAACATTTTGCATGCATAGATTCAAACATCCACATTCAGAAGCAAACTGTTACTTCTGAATGTTTTGTTTTGTTATTTTTTTAAATGTCATTTCTCCACAGGACAGAGATCTAGAAAGGCTGCGCAGGAAATGGTTAAATGCTCTTACAAAACGCCAAGAGTATCTAGATCAACAACTGCAGAAACTTGTGGGAAAGCCTGGTAAGCATAAGTAGTTTATTATTTTCCATTGCAACTGCTGCCAAAGTTGTTGAGAAGCTAAGAAACTTGAAACATGTTCAGGGCATCCTCAGCTGCATGGAAAGTCATTCTTGCACTCAGTCTCCTATAAGTACATAGAATAACTCCAAACCTATCTGCTCAACACAAGGTGATATAGGACTGAAAGAGCGGGATACATGCATATAAGGATAGAAGAGGCCACAATGGAACTACCAGGCATGGCATCTTCTGTCTATACCTGTATGTATTTCAGAAGAATATACAAATCAGTATTAAAACAACTATTGAAGAGTATTTTTAAAAAAATCCTCCCAAGAAACCTTATGTCATCATTCCGAGTAATGAACTCCGGGAAATCAGAACTCTGACACTTTGTTCAGGTTAGCTCTGAATTATTCCTGCGCTTAGGGATACTTATAAGAATGAGATTTCCCCAGCCCCCTTTGTCTCTCGGGTCACATGGGCCAATTAGTCCAGATGTACATTCCCGCATAACTTCAACAGGTGTCTGTTGATATGACCTTGGTTCTGCTGTTTATGGCAAGGGTGAAAGATAGGGCTTTGTGTTCTCTGGTAAAAGTCAATAAGTTCTCAAGTCAGATATGATTGTGTTGACTACTTGGGTACAACTAAGTAGTTTTCTTGGCAATAGTAGATAAATAGTTTGTGGATATTTTTTGACTTCCCAATCTAGGCTATACCTCTGGTATTTTTGATGGTCTCCCATTCAAGTATTAACCTCCTAAACCCATAGGAACAAAGCCAGCTACATGCTGCCATCTTCTGATATGATTTCCTGAGTTCCCTTCCAATATTCATTGAAGTCATCTTTGGAGATGTTGCTGAGTATATAAGTGAAACTTTCTTGACCTCTCCTAGACAAATCAGAAGATGATGTTGATCGGGAAGCTCAACTGTTAGAGATGAGGTTGACCCTTACAGAAGAGAGGAATGCTGTAATGGTGCCATCTGCTGGCAGTGGGATCCCTGGAGCACCTGCTGAGTGGTAAGGCCTGCAATAAAAAAGCCATACACTGCTAGCTTTACAAATTGCTTGAGTTCCTATTGTTTGCGTGTGGTGAACTGTGGTGAAGAAATAGAAGGGTGCTATTATATTGTTTGTCGCCATAGAAGAAAGTGTAAGCATTGTACCAATGGGATGAGAAGGAAAAAAAAATCAGTTATCCTCCTGGAAGATGGTAGAAAAATAAAGAGAAGATATGGCTTTTGAAAGTGGTAAGAGTAGGAAATTGCAGAAGTAAAAAATGCATAAGAATTAATGAAATGCCTAGTAAATGTTTTGAGTTGGGCAGGAAGTAAAAGTGAGAAAGAATGATGTTTTCTTAATTGTTTAATGTGTTAATATATAAGGAATGTTAATCATGATGTTAAAGTTAGGGAGGGTTGGAGGCCTAAATGTGTTTGTGCCATAGATGTAAATGATACCATGTTATTGGTTGAGAACCAAAATACAACATGTGCAAGTGCTGGTAGACGACTAGTGAGTAACATGTGGCCTGTTGCAAGGAATATATTGCTTGTTGAAAGACGGGGAAATGTCTGCATATAGGAGCTAGCGTCTGTCCATTTTGTAATTCAAAAGTGAGAGTTAATTGTGTCAGGAAAAGCGAAGTAAATTGAATATAGCAGGAATGGGACTCTAAAGAAGCGATATAAAAACGAGATAGAATCAAAAATTTAACAGGTGCCAACTCAATGTGGACCTAATATAGAAGAGAGTGACCAACACAAAAGAAATAACAATGAGGCTATTTGATCATATATAGACAGAAAGAATGAGGATAATACTGTAAAACAAATCTGTGAAGGAAAAGTGAAAGACTCAAGAGTAAAGGGAAAACTAAAAAAGTTGTGCTCGGAAATAGCTGATAAGCTAGAAAGCTCTGAAGAGGTATAATGAACGAGATCACGGGTGTCAAACTTGATCACGTTACGTGACATATTGTGATATATCGTGACATTTTTTGCCTTTGCTGAGCTGGGGTGTGAGTGGCCTGTGTGTGATACATCGGGCCCACAGGCCACAGTTTGTCAGGCCTTTTATCTATTTATTTCTTTTTTGTGCTCTGCATAATGTTATTTACCTGGGATTACAAATAGGAATGTATGTATATGGATTGCGTGAAGATATTAGTCCATCTAGTCCAACATTCATGGTCACATGTGGCCCACCAGCTGTGCATAGGAAGTTCACAAACATGGCAGAGTTGTTACTTACTTGAAGCTGGTGTTTAAAATTTACTGGCTGTGAATAATGACTAGGTAGACATAGTAACTGAGAGACTATCCCCCACCCGAATTTGTCCAGTCCTCTTTGAAAATCATCCAAATATGGGACCATCATCACATCTGAAGGTAGTACAGTGCAGTTGTAAAACTGAATAAGATATGGTTTGTATAATTTCCCACAAAATATGGCTGCCCTTGGTGTTTGCACAGTTAATCAGCTTTAGTTCCAGTGCCTCAGGAATATCTAATATATATTTTGGAAGCTGCCCCAGGACAGTTAAATAGCCTTTAGAATGATCCCTATGTGAGATTTGTAAACAATGCCTGAGTTGAAGGAGGATAGGAGATGTAAAAGCAAGTTCCTGAGGATGTTTGAAAAAAAGTATTTAGTCTCTATGCACTTTCTTTAAAGTAGAGGAATTTTTAAACAAAGTTTAATTACAATCTTCTGTAGGAGTTGAATCAATATTTATTGCTAGTGCACTTTAGCTGATTTAAAAGAAAAAATGAATAGCAATTGCCTGGCTCATTCACTTAAAAGCCTTCTCTTTCCTTGTGGTATTGCATGTAAGATTAACCTGGATTCAGCATTTCATAAGTCCTGAGCAGACAGAGATATTTTGCAAAATTGTCTTTTTAGAATATTGAAAAAGTACATCAAATACACCTGGAATCTTTGCCACCCCATGGAAGTATAGGAAGGTTTTACTGAATGTAGAATTTGGGTATCTTTTTAAAAATAAAGCTTCCAGTCCTTATGGCTGCAAAGAGACCCCTTCAGTTGCATAGGAAATGTCATTTGTCAGTACAAGAGATGAAACCCTGGGGAGAGTCACTCTTTCTCATGTGTAGGGCAAGAGATATAATTATTGGTATGGAAAAAATGATAGAGATCAGAGTTCCTCAACCTTTTTGGGTTGGTGACCCAGAGTGGAGGGAAGAGGGAAAGAGGGGATGGTTCTGTGGGAGGGGCAGGTGTGTGCATGCGCAAATACCCATTGCTCGCTTGAGTGGGGCTGCAGTGCTTGCGGTAATGCTTGCACAAGTGGAGCTGTGCACACATGCACCAGCCAACTACTCCTGTGGCATGGTGGCCAATAGCCCATAGCCCAGTAGTGGGCCATGCGCACAGGTTGGGGACACATATTGTGTATCACATAAGATCATTCACATGTTACACATAGATGTAGTTCTTGCTTAGTGACAATGGACCCCCAAATCTAGATATGATCTGGTTCTGGGTTCTGACAACTGCACACATGCTATGATCACATGACTAATTTTCAATGTTTTGTGCTAGTTTCCAGCCTTTTTGGTCAAGATGGTGGCTACAGTTGCCAGATAGAAACCCTGCTCCCTTTTTTTATGTGGCATAGAGATAAAAAGCGGGGGGGACTTTCATTGTCCAATCCATCTGCAGATACCTCTGCTATCTGCTAATTTGAGTGTGATACTGGCACATTAATCAAAGCTCTGGTGTCATCCTTGACCCAAAAATGGTTCTATGTCCCCACATTGTGTATGCCTACCACAATTGTTTTAGCTATGCTTTGGATCTTGGAGAAATGATTGTCAAAAAATGGCACATCTTGCCATTACTTCTGGATCAATCTGTAAAGGGCAAGAACTGTTTTGGGGCCTTCAGTCAATCACTTGGTCAACCTTCTTTTCTCTGCCTATCCATGAAAACTAGAAGCCATAGTTATTTACTCTCCCTTCCCTGGCAGACATGCACCTTTGCACTTAGTTGACTACATAAATTACAATAATCTAGTTCCTTGAGATAGACACACCTATTTGTCTGCTTGCTATTGAGAATTCTGCCATGACTGAACACCGGCGCTGAAAATTACTGATTGTCCTTTACATCTGCAAGAGAGAGAAAAAATTACACTAGAGCTACACTCATCAAGGTTATCATTGCCTTGTCCTAGAGTTGTGTGGGTACTGAATGTAATATGCAATGGCTGTGCATCACCAGGAACATGTCCTGCATTAACATTCTCCTGCATTGATATGCCAGTGTTGTCCATGGCTTTTGTTTTCTTTTAGGACACCTGTGCCTGGTATGGAGACACACATTCCAGTCATTTTCCTTGATTTAAATGGTAAGTTTCACTATGGCAAACAAGATGAGATAAGAGCCTAATGAAGGGAGGGTAATTTCAGGAAAGGGGATACAAAAGGAATATATTGAGTAGATCTTGGTGAGTGAAAAACACCCTTGTAAGCAGTTATAAGAGGTCCTATCAACCATGTGTTTCTCCTTTTCTTCTCCTTTATTTCCCTTCCCCAAAACAAGAGCATTTTCTTCGTGCATTGCAACTTTGCTTTTTCACCTTGAAAAGTTCTTGGAGGCTATAAGAGATGCTGGGCATGTAGTCTAAATAATGCACTGAGTTTATGCGTTGGGACTGCAGCAGAGGTGGTATTCAGCAGGTTCTGACCAGTTCTGGAGAACCGGTAGCGGAAATTTTGAGTAGTTCGGAGAACAGGCAAATACTACCTCTGACTAGCCCCGCTCCCATCTATTCTCTGCCTCCTGAGTACCAGCTGGATCTTCTTTTGTTGCCCTGCAACAAAGAACAGAGAATGGAGCCAGAAAGCAGGTTAGTGGGGTGAGGAGGAAATGGGATTTTGCAGTAACCTTCCCCCAGGAGAGGGGAGGGAATGGGAATTTTGCAGTATCCTTCCCCTGCCATGCCCACCAAGCCACGCCTACCAAGCCACACACACAGAACTGGTAGTAAAAAAAATTGAATCCCACCACTGGACTGCAGCCCTCCATTTAACTTCTCTAACCATGAAAATCTTCCTCTTCTGGACAACAACATCCTGTTGGAGCAGCCACACAGATTTCTTACTTCACAATGGAAGATTTACATGTATCTCCTTATGATTGGATAAGGAAGAAATTAAAAATGTCCCATTTTGGTTAATCGGATTGTTTGTCCAACTTACAAACTAATGGAGGCCAGGTTGAAATTCAGATGGCCAATTTGTTGCCAATTCATCCTGTTTGAAGTAATTGTTTAAATGATACCCTGATCATTTATGGTGTGGTGGTATTTCTTATATTTCTTTGAAACAGATTAATCTGGTAGGATGCTTGCATGATTTAATCTAACAAAATATCCTCACCACGGGAACTAAGGGTTATTTACTGTGCAACTTAAGAGTTTTATAAACACAGTTATGCAATTATGGGTTATGTTGGAGTTGCTTTAGACCAGTGCTTCTCAGCCTTGGCAGCTTTCAGATGTGTAGAGCTCAACTCCCAGAATTTCCCAGCCAGCAATCTGAAAAACTGCTGAAGTTGAAAAACAGCTTTAGAAAAAAACAGATAGACTTCAACTTACAACAGGAAGCTTAGTGACTATTTGAAGTTACAACCGACTAGATAAAGCAGACTTATAAACTAGATTTGAAGTTCTGATGGTCAGTCTCCCTCCGCAGTCATGTGACCAATCTTTGGGGACTCAGCAGCAGTCTCATGGTCATGTGAGCACATATTACAATGGATTTTGCTGAAAATCAGCACTTCTGGTTGCCTGTGGAGATTCTCAGGCATCCAGGACATGGTTGTCCCAAAGGTGCTTTTTTCAAGAGGCAATTGGACTTTCTGTTTTTTTCTTTGAAGATGTTTCGCTTCTCATCGAAGAAGCCTCTTCAGCTCTGACTGGATGGTCCTTCCATTTTCCACTATCCAGTCAGAGCTGAAGAAGCTTCTTAGATGAGAAGTGAAACATCGTCAAAGAAAAAACAGAAAGCCCCTTTGGGACAGCACTTCCGGTTTTTAGCAAAATCTTGCCCATAGTGAGCCATTGGTTCACTCAATATTAGCTTAATATCCACCCCCCAAAAAATGTAAAATCTGTTTGTTGTGACAAGAACCACAGTGGTGCAGTGGTTAGAGTGCAGTACTGCAGGCTGCTTCTGCTGATTGCCGACTGCCTGCAATTTGGCAGTTCAAATCTCACCAGGCTCAAGGCTGACTCAGCCTTCTATCCTTCTGAAGTGGGTAAGATGAGGACCCAGATTGTTGGGGGCAATAGGCTGATGCTGTAAACCACTTAGATTGGGCTGTAAAGTACTGTAAAGTGGTGTATAAGTCTAAGTGCTCGTGCTATATAATCATAATGGGCAGGCTCCATTATGGTCATATATCAGGGACTACCTATAATACATTTGAGCTCCTATGTGCTTTGAAGCAACTTTTGGAAACTGAACCCAAACCGCTTGCATAGCCATGGTGTTCAAACCTTTCTAAAAAATATTACATTGTGCACAGCAATTGCTTACGGAATCTCTCTTTCTGTGCCCCCCCGCCCCCATCCCCCCTTATAGCAGATGACTTCAGCTCTCAGGATAATCTTGATGAGCCAGAAGCTGGTGGCTGGGATGCTACCCTTGTTGCTGAAGATGAAGATGAATTCTTTGAGTTACAGATTGTAAAGCACCACGAGAGTGAGGTAAGGCAGTACCCAAACATTGGAGCTGGAAGGCTCTCTTGCTGCTAATGGGAGATGTTACAACAGCCTTGGGAAATCATGGCATGATCCTTTGGTTCTTAATGGCTTCCACTCTACTAATGTATTTTGGAGTGAGTTTGAAATTATAATTTATTGTCTGAGAGTTAAAGGGAAAGGGGCAAATATCTTGTGTAGTTATTTCTTACTGAGATAGTCAACTGGTTCCTAGCTTATACTTTAAATTAAGGGTTCCCAACCCCCAGACTGTGGCCCACTATTGGGCCTTGAGCCCTTCAGAACCAGGCTGCAGAGGTGACTGGTAAGTGCATGCGCGCATTTCATTTGCGTGAGCAGCGGGCAAGCATGGACAAGTGTGCTCCATTTGCATAAGCAATGGCCACTTGTGCTTGCTCCTTGTGCAAATGGAGCTGCACAAGCAGAGGGTAAGCGTGGGTATGTGCGCTCTCCATTTACACAAGAGGCAGGTGCTTCTGTTCACCAGTCACGCAAATGGAACTTTGCATGCATGGGTGTGTTTGCCCACCACACATACAAAATCACACCCACCCCCAGGCTGGTCCGTAAAGCCAGAATGGTTGGGGAACTCTTCTTTAAATTGCTCCTCCAAACAAAAAGAGTCAGTGCATACCAAAGCTAGCATGTGAAGGAGAAGGGTTAGAGCCTGCCAGTGCCTTTAACATGTAGATTTTCTGTGCATAGGGTGATATTGTTGCTCTGCGAAGGGGCATTCCATTATGTGAGCTTAGATGTACAGTGAAGGTTTATTATCTCATTAGTGAAAAAATGAATTATTGATTTAGAGAAGCACATATTCTTGCATTCCTTACCACCTGAATAGTAGATCCATTGTTGGTATATTGGGGAATAGTTTAAGCACAATTTCTGAGCGCTTTCAGACCAAATAACTGAGAATACATCAACAGAACCTCCTCTGTATGGAAATTGAATTCCTGCCTTAGATCCTTGGATCTCCTAAACAAGAGAAGCCACCGCCAACAGAGCCACTGAAGCCAATGAATGATCAAGCACCTCTATTATTATAGCTTACAAGGCTATTCTCCTAGACATACCCTAGGAACCTGCTGTTGACTATATTTTCTTAATGTCTGGATTGAGACATACTCCCCTCCCTACCCCTCCATGCCCAGATACTCTCTAGGGAATATATATGGCCTTCTGGGTGTACTTTTTGGCACCCCTGACTTAAGCATTTAATGAAAACTTAACCATTTGTGATTTAGTTTTGAAAATATCGAAACTTATTTGAACAAATCAAAACTTAGCATACTCCCTTGTCATTATTTGGATGTCAGGCCTCGTCCAAGAATGACATAACACAGTCATGCAAAATTTCAATTCTTTATTTGATTGCCCCATATTGACAGAATCTTGACAGATTAAACCTATTCTACCCTAAATTAATAGACGTGGCCGATGAGATTCTAGGGAGTGACTATCCTAAATCTCTTCATCTTTTCACGGTCCATTCTGGAGTATGCTATCTCTTGTGTGACTCTACTCCTTGGAATGTGTTCCCTCCTTCTTGGATACCAGTTGGGTAATTGTAGTCCGTCACTTCCCCCTTCATAAACACAATCTGTGGGTAAACACAATGAATTGTTATAGATATGTGGAATGTCCTCTTTTTTGCAAAACAAAACAAAACACAGCTTTACTCTGTGAGGTTTGAATGAGTACTAAGAGTAGCAGAGTGCAAAGTCTTCTAATACTATAATTTCATCCTGGCTTTAGTTTGTCTTTAATTTTTTTCTGGGTGGTTTCGCAGGTAAAAGCTGAAGCTTCCTGGGATTCCACAGTTCACAACTGTGCACAGCTTAGCAGAGGAACAATGGCTGAACAGAGAGTCTTCCTGATTGTGAGAGTTGCAGTACAGCTCAGCCATCCAGCAGAAATGCAGCTTGTCCTTCGTAAGCGGATCTGTGTCAATGTTTATGGCAAACAGGTACACTATTAAAACCTTATTATTACCTTTCTGGATCAAGCCAAAAATCCATCTAGCCAGCCATTTGGTCTTCCAATAGCTACTAGCCAGACAGATCATTTAAATCCCAAGTTAAAATATATAAAAGGTAATGGCTTCTCCCCATCCTGTTCCCCCTTCTCTAGCCAGTCTGCCAGAACTCCAGAAACTGTAAATACATCTAAAAGGCATCAGGCTGGAGGAAATTGCTTAATAGACTTTAATGAATGCTATGTTCCATACATTTGTTCAGATTTTCTTTTTTTTAGAAAGCTATCTAAATTCATGGTCATTTTCACATCCTTTTAGGATCCAGGCATGTTTATCCAGGATTAAACTATTGGTAAAACTTTATATTCTCTTATACTTTTTTTGCTGCTGATGTTAACTTTGGTATCAAAACACCTTAAATATTTTGGTCAGGAACTTATGTCTCTCTTAAATGAGAGGTTTTTTTTGTATGGTTGAGTGGTTAGGATCCCTTATTGCATCCTTAAAGATGGTTATGCTGCAGTTAAGATGTACTTTCAGAATGTCTTTATGTGCACAGGCCTTCAGTTTGTTTTTGTGATGTTGGGGGCAATACTGTCAATAGTGTTGCATATTGTTGCAGTGAAGAGGTGACCTAAGATTCATGGCTATAACTTTTAAAATTCTGAAGGGTGCCATCCCATCAAATATCTCAACATGATAGAGACTGAAAGTACTAGGGCAAAAGTATAATTATTATTAAATGTGTAAAGTGTGTTCAGTTTAAAAAAAAACCCAGCTTCCTTTAATCAGAAGATTTTCAGTGAAAGCTTAAATAGATTTTGGGATTTATCAGTTAGGTTCCAGTTGTTTGTACTCAAACCTTGGTGGAAGTGCTGAATTCAGTATGATTGGAATTCACAGTATTTTTTCCATCTATTGAGTAGTTTTAGATTTTAGTCTGGGGTATTCTTTGTAGCCAGATTTCCTTATCTAATTGACTGTTTTTTTTCCTTTCTTTCATTGTTCCTTGCTCCTGATTCCATGGCAGTTGCTAGAATGCTGCATAGAGGTTCCACGAGGGTAGTAATATAATACTTTTGCAACAAGCATTTTTTTCTGTATGGCTTCTGTGTGTGCAAGAAGCTGAAGTATTGAGGATCATTCATGTTGTCAGCATTGTTTACTGCTGAAATAGATAGTTCATCTCATAGTGACTTTTATAGGCAGTATTTGATAGGTTGTACCTTAATGAGCTTTTCTGCATGTTAGCAAAACACGCTTCAGCAAATCTATGCTGCCAGCAGATTGTCCCATCTCTCATCAACCCACAGAGTCAATATTGTTTGGTGACATTTGTAATAGAAACTTTGTTTTTGCTGTGTGTTGAAATGTTACTGATGTTGTTGTCAGATCTTTGGTTTGTGCTTTATCTGCCTCGCTTATTTCTGCCTTGCTCTCCAACAGCTCAGTTTTGAGGGAGGGTGCCACAATAGAAAGATGATGCTTAAACAAATCCAAGAGATATAGGTTGGGTAAACATTTCCGGAGATCTAGTCTTGCTGGTTTATTGCAGCACGTAAATTATAATGGCATAAGACAGCCATTTCCAACCTCCAGGTATGTGGACCTCATCTTCCAGTATTCTCAGCAATAGCTATGCCGGCTGGGATTGAGTCCCAATCTGGTGAGTACCCAAGTGAGAGAAAAACTTTTCAGAAAATGAGATGAAATTGGGTGGTAATTATAGGGTGCTCAGTGATATTCTCCTTGGGCTACTAAAATTGGATACCCAACAAATTTCTTGAGATAGTTTATATTTGTTAGGCATTAAGCAAGGTATTCATGTGATAAACTATCTGATATTAATCTAGAAAAGAATTCAGAAAACAGTTTCACATGTGTTTGTACACACCGGCTTATAGCAATAGCAATAGCACTTAGAGTTATATACCGCTTTACAGCCCTCTCTAAGCAGTTTACAGAGTCAGCATATTGCCCCCAACAATCTGGATCCTCATTTTACCCACCTCGGAAGGATGGAAGGCTGAGTCAACCTTGAACCTTGGTGGGATTTGAACTGCCAAATTGTAGGCAGCTGGCTGCAGAAGTAGCTTGCAATACTGCACTCTAACCACTGCGCCACAGAGGCTCCTTATATAATAGAAGGGCTATAAGGCTAATAGAGGTGTCATATATTGTTTCAGATTTTGGGCTCATCTTTCCTCTGGCTGGCAGCAGTTTTCCAAAATTTCAAATGTGGGACAGCTTCTAGAGGCCACTTTATTGGAGATGTTGGAGATCAAAGTTTCAAAGCATGCTCTCTGCCATTGACCATGGATAGCCAATGCTAAATATGCTCAGTTGGTGTAGCTCATTACTTCCATTAGCATAAATTCTCTATAAATGTATTTTCTATGCAGCTTGCTAAACTCTCTGGGCTATTTAGCTATTCTGTCTTTTGTCAATACACACACAATTCAAGCATGTATTACAAAACTGTATCAATAACCTTCCAAGTACCTAGCAACTTTGGATGACTCATCTCTGCATTAATTCAGGAGTCAAGATTTTAACCTCATGAACCTTCCTGTCAGAATAAACAATGTCACTGATCCTCTTAAATCATTGTTTGTAATGATCCCAGTGGCCTGGGATTCAGAAATCAGGTTTGTTGGCAATTCAAAGCACCAGTAATTCCAAGCCCACAAGTAAATATGCACATGCATAGAAAAAAAAAGAAAACCCAGCGTGACAATTAAGCGGTCACCTTGTCAGCATTCTGTTATGATCCAAGCATCAAGCATCAAGAATTTGGGATCATTTCACGTATTTACTTCCTGGGTACCTGAGCAATGTTTGATCCCTCTCTACCTTTTTTTAATGGAACACAAGCCTGCTTGAATTCCACCCAGATCCCCAAATATTTCCATACTGTGGGGAAAAGAAAATTAAAGGGTTCCAAAACTGGAGTCATTTCACAATGTGTGAATAACCCCCATAAGGGGATTTTTGTAGTATGATCGTGAAAGTAATATGTTTAATTGGGTATGAAGGAGGTTACTTTATTAAAAGTGAGTGAGCAGGTTGTTCATTTGTAATATATATGGCAGGGAGATGGCCAAGGGAGTATTATTGTCCACCATACAAACAGGGTTTCCAAAAATTAAATGGCTCTGTTGTGTCTTTCCTTAGGCTAATCTGTTGCTGTTTGCTTTTCTTTCATGCTAAATAATCTGCTGCTGATATGAGTATTGGTTTAACCTTACTGAAAGAGAAATATCTGTTTTTAGTATTGACTTATATGAAACAACAAGATCTCTTTTTCATCTCTAGGGTTTTGCTCAGAGTTTCCTGAGAAGAATGTCTTACCGGAGTTCTGTACCTGGCTGTGGAATCACCTTTGAAATTGTTTCAAATATCCCAGAGGTGAATATTACAAGTAACTCAAGTAATGTTGCTTCTAAATATGCGCACGCAAATACAAGCCAGTTTCCCTTGCTAATCTTAGAGAGCGTACAACCATATGTTTCCTAAATCACACCCTAAGAGAATCCACATGTTGGGTTTTTAACATATGCTTACAACTGATTGGGACAATTTCCCATGGAGGTTTCAAAGGAGGAAACCTCTCCCATATTCCTAGTTCAACATGAGCCATGTTAGAAATATGTATCTAGCAGCTCATCTCACCTTATCTTACAGATTCTGTTTCTTAGTACATAATGCTATCTGTCCACACATGCTTTCACTTATTTGGAGATAAAAATGAAAAGATCAGTTTCTTTCTATGTTATGACTGCTACTCAAATATCTATGAAGTCTACTCTCCCATTTCTGCATTTAGACCAGAGGTCTCCAAACTTGGCAACTTTAAGACTTGTGGACTTCAACTCCCAGAATTCCTCAGCATAGCCAGCCAGCCAGCAATTTTGGGAGTTGACGTCCACAAGTCTTAAAGTTGCCAAGTTTGGGACCCCTCATCTAGACTTTTAAAAAGTTTTTTAAAATGCACAAAGGCATTTATATTTAAACTGCTTAACTTTAAAATAAACTGAAGAACTTTCAGTAGTTGAATGAATATTGACTATTGAAAAGCACCTTATTTAAATTCAGTCTTTAGTCTGCCTGAGACGTGCCAATTTTGTGTATATCAGAGTGTGTCTGTGTATGAGAGAAGACAGAGTAGAGAGAACAAGAGAATATTTCTTCAGTTATACTTTTGAAGGGATTTATGCTCCCCGCTAGTTGTAAACTTGCCATCACAAATATCAGCATATTAAGTGTCCTGTGACCTATGTTTCTTTTACGTTTTTATGTGCCAATGGGCTCACTAACTTGAGAGGTTTTCTCTTTCAGGATGCTCAGGGGGCAGAGGAACGTGAGGCATTAGCAAGAATGGCGGCCAATGTTGAAGACGCAGCTTCTGCTGCTTCAGAAGTCCATATAGAAAAATACCTTAGAAGTGTGTTGGCTGTAGAAAACATCCTTACTCTTGATCGGTTGCGCCAGGTTAGTTAATTGTAAGGGAAAGTGCTATAAGGTGTGGAAACCTTTCTTAGGCTATAGGCTACCGTGTCATTTTTGGGGTAGACTTCAGTAACAAAGTGTGTGAAACCACATCATAAATGAGCAAGGCTAATAGGGTATTGCCTATCCTAAGGCTTATCCTGCAGGTTCCATCTAAAAATCCCAGGAAACTGTTGCCAGACCAAGGACCATAAAAAGAGGGTGTTGGTTCTAAACATTCCAACTCTAGCTGTAATCCCAGCGATTTTAGGGTTTGTTTTATTTTTAAAAAGTGCTGAATTTCAAATGTATGATCCTGAATGCTTCTGGAGCCATACACCAATTTTAAGATGTGCACTGTATCCAATATTCTAATGTGTAATTAATAAAAATAAAATAAAAAAGATGTGGAATTATAACATCTACTCTAACTTTATTGTTAAAGGCCTAAAAATTAAAGTAGTCTCCTATGTTGATGAACCAAACTATTTTTTTTTTAATTTTACTTGGGTTATATCTCACTTCCAAATAAAATAGAACAACATTAGGGCAATTTCCAAAGAATGTAGAATAGCGGGCAGCAATCATGTTTATACATAAAGTTTCACTGTATTCAAACAAAGAATAATCTAAAAAAAATAAGACTGCGTTTAAGTAATATTTTTATTAGTTTAATCAATAATAAATAAATGAGAATTATGCTAGTAGATGGGTAGGATTTTGTTGAGAAAGCACTTTTACATTGTGTGTGTGTGTGTGGGGGGGGGTGTTTTTGTTTTGTTTTTGTAAATTTATAGAGTAATAGCTTTGAAACAGGAGCATTCTCCCCTTCCTTAGGGGACTGGTTTCAGCCCCACTTTTATTCTATTACTTTCAACCCAGAAGTGGGTTAACCACTAGCAGAGGGGCCTTTTCAATATTTGTAGGGAAGGGGAAATATTCTCTGACTATGTTATTATTATATTATAATTATAACACGATGACTAGATTATTACTGTAATTTAATTTTGGAAAAATTAGTGTATTGTTTTTTTGGGTGGGTTCAGTGTTGTCTTATTCCAAAGTTGGATTCATGTTGTTATCCAAGGAGGTCTGCATGCAATCTTAGACTGCGTTTATATGACAGTTTGTTCCAGTCTCTGATTACGTGCTTGTCATAGCTGTCTCCAGTAAGATATATTGGGCTGCATTTTCCATAATTCCAAGCCAGTAACACTCAGTTGCATAAATGTTCTCAATGCTTCTTACAGAAGTAGAAGCCTAACTTTCCTTGCCCTTGACTCAGTTCAAACTTGCTTTTACTTGTAAATGAATATCAGAGAAAGAATGATCTGTTTCTTCCTTGCAGGAGGTTGCTGTGAAGGAACAGCTAACAGGCAAGGGAAAACTTTATCGGAAGAGTCTCAGTTCACCAAATGTCAATCGAGTGAGTCTATAATACTAGAGCTGAAATCCTTCCAAGACATAGTTGGAAGAGGGTGGAGAGAAGAAAAGAGTGGCTCCACGATGAGTTTGTAGGAAGATGAGGAGCATTTCTTCATCTGGTAACACCCTATTGGGGTCCTACTGAAGGCATAGGAAGTATCTTCACCTTCTGGTGTACTGTTGGCCTCCATGTCTGCTCTAAGTCTTGCAGACTGAAGGCTCTGTTTGAAAGTCATGATTTTATTGTTACTCTTTCAGCTATCAGGAAGCCGCCAAGATCTAAATCCATCATACAGCCTTGCTTCTTACAAAGTAAGCATTCAGTTTGTTATTGAATTTCTTTATTGTGTTTAAGAGGTTGCACTTTTTCAGAAAAAATAGGAATTTAACTATTTGGAAAAACTGATTTTGAAAACCGCTTTACCTATTTTTGTAACTATTATGAGTTCTAAGCTGAGGTGTTTGTTTTAACTAAGATATATGACCCAATAGGGGATGTGAGTGTTAAAAGACATAATTTATTTTATGTCAATGGTTTTATACCCAAATCACTAAGAATCAAAATTGTATTAATTGTGTTATGTGGTATTAATTTAGATTATACAAGTAGTATAATCTCAACTTACAACAATAATTGAGTCCAGAATCTTGGTCGTTGAGCAAAATAGTTATTAAATGAAATGCTTCGCAATTGCAATACTTCCAGATGCAGTCATTCAGTGGTCACAGAGGTTGTTAAGAGGAATGTAAGGGTATGTCTCAAGGAGTGGGAGCTCAGTGTAGGCCACACAAACAGGCCATGCACAAGCTGGGGTGTGTATATGTGTGTGGTGCAGTGGGGTGCAAAGTCATAGCAACCTCAGCCTACTAGCTTTGCAATGTAGCATTTGGCAGCAGCACCAGGCCCATGTCAGGGCCTAAAGTAGAGACTTGGGGGTCTCAGCACTCTCAGCCAGCTATCACTGCCCCAAGCCTTAACTTCAGCCCTAGCACCACCACTGCAGCTGAGAAATGCTTCCCAGCTTCCCACATCTGCCTATGTCCTCCATAATGTAGGCTACCCAGTGCAGCAGCACCCAGCAGCATCACCAAGACTGAGCCTGAAGTAGAGGCCTGGGGCCTTCAGGAGCCTCAGTCAGCTGCCACCACTCCAGGCTTCGATGTCAGCAGAGCCTTGTTTCATTTCTGCCTTTAATTTCTTTTTTTCCTCCTCTTTCTCTTCTTTTCTCTCTTTTTTTTCAAGTATGACTATTGTAATGATAAAGGGAATTATAACTTTCCTAATTTTCAGCTATATCTTTGGGCATAAATTTTGGATCAGTCTTCTAATGGGACACATGATCAAGTCCACTGTTGGTCCAGAGTTATTATGTGATTCTTTTAATATCACGGTAGGGGCTTGGTTCTATTTTTAGCCAAGGCCCATGTGGAAGATATTGAAATTTCATAATGTAAGTTTGTTATATGAATGAGAGTTCCCAGTTTAACAAAAGCTGGTAAATCTTTTGGAGGGGAAATCATGACCAAGTAGGAGTATTTATACTTTTGTTCATCTCTAGATAATTTCAAAGTCTCCTTGTTTTTTAGTGTTTGTAGTTGACTACCGAATTCCAAAGAACCCACAAATAGTTCAAGAGTCCTTGAACAACAGCATTTTCAGCAGGAAGATTAATTCATAATCTGAATCTTCATTGTTTCCCTTTCCTTTTTTTTATGCATTTATTTGTTTCTTAACCCTTCAACGATATCCATCCCTCATTGCATATGTTGTCTCAGTGTCCCAAGGTCGTGGCAGAGGTAACAAATTCATTAGAATTATCTAATAAACAGAATAAATACAGTATCCCTTTCTGGAGTGCTTTTTCATGGTCTTCTATGACTTAGCTCTAATCCTAACACTCTGCTTTGGATTTGCTGCCACTGTGCTTCCTTTTTTCCTCTTTGCTTCATTAACCTAGCATAAAGGTAATATTTCTGAATGTGGTGGTATGCAATCTTGGTCTGGAAATGGCCTTGGTTCTGAAGCAGAGAGCTTGCCTGCTTTATCTGAGCAGTTGGAGAGGTCTGAAATGTGTCCATAAATAGCACGCACTGGTATAGAGCCATCAAAGTACAAGAAACATAAGAAAGTTATCTAAATCAAAAAGGTTAGCTATTTATCTCAAGGAATTTACAATCTAAACTTTACTGATAACAAACAGAAAATGAAGAATGAACATGAACTCATTCAATTGTATGCATGTTGTAATATACATGAGGACTGCTGAATCAGACCAGAGGAATGGCATCCTGGTTCTAATAGTGGCCAGACAGATTTCTATAGAAACAGCACAAGCAAGGCCTGAAAAGAAATATCTCTCCCATGAATTGCCCCGATAGCAGTGCAATAGAACAACTAAGAATGGAAAGCAGAGTGGTGTTTATATTAGTATTTTGCAACACAAACAGCAGAAAGTCTGCTATCACTTTAAAAACTAACAAATGCTATTAGCATAATCTTTTCTGGATGACAGTCCATTTTATTACATGTATGGAGTGTAATGTGATGTATTCTTTTCTGAATATTCATCAAACCATGTAATAGGCATTTGATAGACTGTGTTCTATGGACATCCATCCAATAATATATTTGTAAATCTTTAAAGTGGCACAAGACTCAATGTTTCTGGGTTATACACCGATTCTCCATATATCTGCTTAATTCATTTACTTATTTAAATAATTTATTTGTTATCTTTTCATATGCGCAAGACAGTGTGCAAAAGAAAGAGAAGCCATTTAAGCATATAATCATTCCCACTTGTGTAAGTGAATTTCAGAAATTACATCACTGTAGAATGAAGTAGTGTACCTTTTTAAACTTCTATTGAATTTACAGCTGATACATTCCAGTTGGTCTAGTAAGTATAACCTACCTTAGGGAGCCTGCAATGTGAGATTAGTTTGCTTGGCCAAATTGGCTGCTCCTGAACTGTTCTGTCCATAAATCCAGCTAGGATTTATGCATACCTATAGATGGCATTCAGTGCACATTGAAGAGTTAGAATGGTTTTAGTAGATGGCTAGCTTGAAACTCAAGCCACAAGGAAGTGGTTTTTATTCATCCACTCCTTCAGTGATGCAGTCATACATCATAAGTCTATGATGTGTCAGATTATACAGTGCAGTAGCATATACATCTGTTTTCTAACTCCTTCCAGTGTGTTTCACGGAAAGCTTAATTCAAGGTTAGTACCACGCTTCAGCAGAAACCACAGTTATCTGGTTTAGCCATGCTATATTGATATAACTTGCAAACTTTTGTAAGCCATTGAATTATCAGATGATGATTTTCCATTCCCAGACTGGCATGGATTCCCAGGACTTTTACTGAGTTTCCATTGCCTATTTTGTATGAGTGGCTTTGGTTTTGTTGATCACTAGCTGCAAGCAGTTATGTCAAAATGAAGTAGTTAACCATGCAGAATTCAAGACAGTGAAAGTAGAAAGGAGAGTTGCACAGATCAAATAAAATCCTGATTTTTTTTTTAACTACTGATGACCAAAGGGAAAGCTAAGGATATTTTATGGCACCTGTGTCAAACTAGACATGTCACATTGTCGTCATGTGACGTATAGCAATGTTTTTTTCCCCTTCGCGGAGCTGAGGTGGGTGTGGCCTGCACATGACACATCTGGCCCACAGGTCGCCAATTTGAAAATGTGAAGTGTCTGTGGTCACCAGAATTTAAAAAATATGGCATACCCTCAGCAACCACAGCAGGTTTTACTATTTGTTACTATTGTTTTTATCATCTTTAGGTGTTGTTTGTGAGGTGGGTGACAGTATGAAAATAAGTAATAATAAGTTACTGAATCTTTCTAAAAAATAGAATTCATATACTGGATTTGTCATTTTAAAAAATATTCTGGTTGATAACATTTAATTTTCATGGCAGAATAATGCAAAAAAAATGTTTTCAGAATGAGTGGATTCAGTGGACCTCCATTTAAATGGATACTTTATTTTGCCCACAGTTCAGTTTGAGCAACCCTGGTTGTTGCTTCATTTTTTTTTTACAGGTTAGAGATCCCTCTAGTAAGTTGCTTTGCTGGAGCAGACCAAGATCTAGTTAAAGAACCATCCTGTTTCCCAGAGTGGTGGATGGACCGTGTAGGAAATCTTCTCTGAGCTGCATAATGGGGGCAGTTCTATACATGGGATGAATAACAATTGGTGGAGTTTGTAGGAAGAAGGCATAGAATTATAAGGTTTATTTGGAAGATGCCAAGGTATCTCTGTAATGACTTTGTCCCAGTGTGAGACTGAGAGCATGATGTTCTTAAATGGACTGATGAGAATTAGTTTAATGAAGTCTGATCTTGGTGCCCAGTCATTTGGCAAACATTTCTTTAGATAAGTAATGAATAAGTTCTTTCCTTGTTACAGACTTTTTGTGGAAAACATAGCCATCCTTCTGTCTCTTTTATCTACTTCAGAAGAAGAGAGAATATGGGGAAAACCTAGGCAGGTTGAATCATAAAGAGCATCAACTTTTGTAAGAACTGAAAGTGGGTTGTTCAGATATCATCAAGTGTTGGTCTTGGTACCCACCACATTGAACAAACAACTTCATTCGTAGTAGAATGTTGTGGCTGCATTGCAATAAAATAATTTCAATTGGTTTCCACTCTGCCGTAGTCAGAAATTTCTTGCATTGTACTTTTCCTCTTTCTTTTGTATGATTCACTTGCAAAAGCCTCAACAGTTGTTTAGGGTTCATTACCTAGTGGTTGTTAAATTACATCCCTTGGACTTTCCATAGACTTTGAGATAGCCTCTAAGATTACAGTGAAAAAAGATAACTCTGTCCCTTTTTCAGAATGAATGCTTGCCAACTCAGTAGCTCCTTTAGGATTCTAGTGCAGGTGTACCAAGTGTTACAGATGCTTTTTCCATTGATTGCAATTGTACAGACAGAGGCTGTCTTATTAAATGGTGCTTTGGAGTGCCCGTTTTATGCCAACAATTATAAATTAATAATGAAGGGCAAGAGGTTCTATCAGTAGCTAGACTGTAAGTTCAGCCTCTCTGTTAAACATGCCCTGAATCTTAGTTCTGACACACGACTCAAGAGAGTACTAGATGTTCAACCTCATTGCACTTTTTTCCCTCAATCTGAATAGTACAGCTCCATCAGAATATTAAGCGACAAGAAATTGTACTTTTCTCAGGACATAAAGTTCTAAGTACTTCTGATATAGGGCTGTTCTCTTAGGGAAACACAACAGAAGAAGTATAGCACAATTAACTTTGTTAATCTTTCTGAAGCATTGCTTCCTCTGGATGGTTAAACATCAATGCCCAGAATTCCCGAGCTAACATGTTGATAGCTGAAAATTCTGTGAGTCAAGGTCCATGCAAGGTCCATTGAAAAGTGCCACAGTGGGGAAAGGTGACATGTACCTTAATTATTGCATTCACGTAGGTATACTATGGTGTACAGTGGTTAGAGTGCAGTACTGCAGGCTACTTCTGCTGGCTGCCTACAATTTGGCAGTTCAAATTTCACCAGGCTCAAGGTTGACTCAGCCTTCCATTCTTCCAGATGAGGACCCAGATTGGTGGGGGAAATAGGCTGATTCTGTTAATATGCTTAGAGAGGGCTGTAAAAGCACTGTGAAGCGGTGTATAAGTCTAAGTGCTATTGCTATTGCTAAACTCAATGTTCTATAAATAATATTGCCAGATGTCTTCTATAAAGGCCCTGATCAGACCTAGATCTGCTTAGATTTGGCTACAGTTTACAACAGGGCCTTTTAGATCTTAACCTATGGCTCAGAAAAGCATGAAGTGGGCCTGTGCCTTCCCTTTGCAGCATGGGATATTAATAGGTTTCTGTTCTTGTTTCATTGTATGTTTCAGTATTTTTCAAATTGTTTGAGTGGTTGCTACTTTCAATATGATCATTGTACAAATATATATGTATATTAATAATTCCAGAGTCGATGGGAAAGCCAGCAAGATATTTCTCAGATTTCAACAGAATCCAGGTCCAGTGCAAGTCTCCATGGGTCAACTCACCAAAATGGTTCTACAGACCAAGGTAAAAATTTAGGGCAGATCAGTGATGTGAACTAGCTGTTATTGTTCCAGATGATAAACCCAGGGAAGTCAGGACTCGGACACTTTGTGCAAGTTCAAGAAACCCTTTAGCTGCACTTAGAAAGGTGAAGCTAGCTCTAAATAGCCCCCACACTTAGGGATAGTTAAAAGAGTAGGATTTTCCCACCCCGCAGAGTCTTTTAGGTCACATGGGCCAATCATGCCAGCCACAACTTCCTGCTCCAACAGGTTTCCATTGACATGACTTTGGTTCACATGCCAGTTTGTAGATTTGACTAGTGACTGAGACATCACATTCCTAAGTTCCCCCATCCCTCCCTCTGTGAATGGCAACCAAGAAACAATCAAGGAGTAAGCATGAGAAAGAATGGCTTCAGCTGAAGTCGTTTTGCTGGTTGACACTAGCCACTGCAGCTGTAGATTCCTCCTCCCTCCCCTGGTTTTATATAAAAGTATAAGATCCTTTTGGGCAAATAGGGGACATACCTTTGAAACAGTTTCTAATTTCTTTTGGTGAATGAGCACCACATTGGATAGACGCTTATGATTTAATGTCATGAGCAAGGTCAGATTCCCTTGGATGGAAGGGCTTGCACAGAATTTATGTATTTTTCCACCAAAACAATGGCAGGAAATTTCATGGTTGTTTCTTGGCAGCCAAGTTAAACATTAAGCAAAGCCAGCCCCTACATTCAGAAATGGTTCAGAGTAGACTTCAATAATATTGTGGATGTTCAAGAGACAGGTAGCAGCATTGTGAATTTGTTTATTTGTCTTGTTCAGGACTCAGTAGTCTGGCTGCCTCTTACTTGAATCCAGTGAAGTCCCTCATGCCTCAGATGCCAAAGTTGCTCAAATCTCTGTTTCCTGTTAGAGATGAAAAAAAGGGCAGGCAGACCTCTCTCCTTGCACAGCAGGTACAAGAGCATTCTATTTAGAGGGTTGCAGGCAAGAATAAAAACGAAGTTGTTCACCAGTGAATGGAGTTTAGAGTGGATTCCTGAGGTTACCAAACGATTGTTCAACCACAATGGTGTTCTTTTTTAAAAAAAACTTACCATGTCATATTCCATGTGTACATTTCAGTACAATGTACAATTTGGGAAGCAAAACACAATGTGATTCCCCAAGATTGGTTACTAATGACTCAATAGATTGTAGTTGGTATTACAGTTTTGTGAAGTTTTTTGGCTTCTCCAGCCTGATGCCCTTCTGGGTCTTTTTTTTTTTTAAAGTTTTAAAAACAACTTTATTTACAAATTTAAAAACATACAATTTCAAAAATACAGAAACAAATAATAACACATAGTTTTTTACATTTGTTGTCCAATTGATGAGTCCTAAAAATCATTATTGGCTAGTACTAGTCACATATTCACACCTTGTCACATCCTAAGTACTAAATAATTCACAATATACGCCATTTATTTTCACGTTGGATTATAACCACTCTTCTGTTACTAATACATTCATGTTTTTTAACTAATAAACACAAAAATATTATAAATAGCTAATACTAATAATAGTAGCAACAAAGAAAAGAAGATTTAAAACCTTTAATTGTACTTAATATATTATGAAGCCCTTCTGGATCTTATGACACTACTGTCGTATTTTGAGAATTGTAATCTGAACACATCTGAAAAGTATCATTTTAGAAAACCTAGTTCAGAATCACAAACTATGCATTGAATTGTTTCAGTCTGATTCCATTCGCTGTTCAAAATAGGTAAGGATCTCTTTGATCTCTTACCATGGGGGAAGTGTAGGAAAAAGAAGTAATCGGAAGAAAACTAAAATATGGCCCCATCAATTAATAAAGATTGCTGAAAGATTATCAGCATCTTTGGAATAATAAACATCTTAGTTTGTGTATAATAACTTGGAGTAGAGCCATCCATAAAAAGTTACTGACAAGCTACAAAACATCCCACAGAAAGAGTAGCTGGGCCTTTTAAGAGGGGAATAATGTGATTATTTTAGAAGTCATCCTTAGAAGAGCGGGAGTTAGAAGCCATCCTTGTATTGCATTATCAGTGTGATTAAAGTTGATAGGTTAATGTCTAAAACATCAAATTGATTTTCCCTGTTTAGATTGAGTTTTCTTTTAGTGCAGTCACTGGTCTTTTGAATGTCCCCAGCAAGCTCCTGAGGTATTTAAGTGACTTAAGCTGACATTTCTATTATGCACATTTTGTTTGCTTTTGTTTGTGCAAATGTTCTAGATGGGCTCATTTTTCATATGTATGTATCTATGTATCTATGTTCATTTTCTTTGTGTCATGCCTTTGTAAGGGAAAGAAAGAGACGTTTGAAGCAGTGGCATTTCAGTATAATCTGTAATTGTATTACACTTGCAAACATGGCTTTAAAAGTAGTTATTTGAGTTGCCAAATCAGCATATGCAGTAGCTATTTTAGAAAGCTGGAAAAAAAACCTCAATTAGAAAAGTTCAGAGCTCCAGGTCTCCAGTGTGAATTTCAAATTAGTAGCAGTCAGGCACAAGTTCTGAGCTGACCTTCAGGAAATAGTAATTCGGAAGAGCATCACAAAAATGGTCTTCATTTCTCAAGAAAAAAGTTGATACTGTTTTATAGAAAATTGGGGAAAATGATAAGCATATTAAAAGTTATGTCATCTTTTCAGAGGCTTGGTCCATAACTACTTTAGTATTAATACTTTCATTTGCAGAAGTGATAAGTAACATGTAGCTTCAGCTCATCTGTTTGCAATTCTTGAAGCCACCTTGAAACATGATTCCTAAAATTTGGAAGCACAGTTGCTTGCCATTTGAATGTGGAAGTCATGAAAACAGAAACACAATCTGTAAAGCAAGCAGATGATAGTTAACATATAAAGCAACCTCCAGTTTTCTCTCTCTAAATGCCTATGATGTGGTCCCATTCTCTTTGTGGGTTCATCTTCTGTAAAAGTATTAAATGTGGCTCTTGGCTAGCAAAAAATTATCTACTTCAGTTTTTCAGATTCGTTGCTTCACAAAATTGAAGCGTTCATAGGCAATATTCACTCCTTAAAACTCTTTTTGAAAATAAAAAACATTGTCTTTTAAAAGTGTAACACATTTCATCTCCTCTTTTGATTCTTCATAGAATTGCAATAACTTGCAATTAATTTTTTAGAAAATTTGCTAAATAAAGAGAGTAAGGGAGGTGATCTTAACAGAAATATGCAAAAAACATTACCAAGTCAAACATAGAAACATAGAAAACTGACAGCAGAAAAAGACCTAGTGGACTGCCCTTTGAGGTTTTGTTGTTGTATCAATTTTGTATTTATTATTTTTAATTATTTTTATGTTTTATATATTTTTTTATTTTTTTGTTGAATGATGGACATGTGTTTATCCCAAACATGTTTAAATTCAGATAGTGATGATTGATCCACTAGCTCTGCTGGAATTTGGTTCCATGTTTCCATTACTCTTTCTGTGAAGTAATACTTTGATAAACAGCATGTGCAAAATCCATAAGGGACAATTCATACATAGCAACTATAAAGTCTATCTTCTTTAAAAACACTTAGATCTTACGTTGAGTATTTCATATTCCCTTTAGTTTCATCTGAACTAGAACCATCTTAATCAAACAGTAAACTTTTTTGTGGGCGGGGGGAGCATCTGGCAAGAAGAAGAGGTCATTTAAATTTAGAAGGTAGTGTAAGACCATTGATGACTCTATCCATCCTCCCTCCGCTGTGGAGATGCTTGTAATTCAGCTTATTCTGAGAAGGTGTCAGCCAGACTTGTTGGAAATATAATTACCAATTTCAAGTCAGTGTGGTCCTTTGGGATTTTAGAAGGTTAGCTTTAGATGAGAAAGCAATAAAATGTATGATAATTTCCTCAGAAATAAATTTCTGGACTTGGAAGTTCGTTCCTAGGTGTTAGTTTGCTTCTTAACAATTCATGGTTTTATTCATTTTCAGAACCAAGTTGATATCAGGGTTCCTAACATATGTCCACCAAAAATTCCTAAGCAAGATATAAATATTCTCCTTACCTCATAGTTGCAAATTCCCATTTCTATCATGATCACTAGCATTTCCTTTACCACCTTATCTTATGAGGATTATCTGAGTGAAGCTGAGGGATGAGGAATAGAATCATGGCTTAAAAATAGAAGTGCATTTTCTACTTGGCAATACACAAATGCACTAAGTGCTCATCATAAATTTTACTATTGTTGCTGGAACTGATGTTTTCATAAATCACATTAGATGAAAGTGCTGGGTGCTTAAGTGTTATCAATACGTTTAAATAGTGCTGCTGGTGGAATGGAGGGTATTCTGTTGGCTTTCCTTGGGCCTATAATAGAGGACAGTTATACTAATTCACCATAAGATGATAATGATCATGGTGACAGCAGCATTTCCTATGGAATCTCGTTCTCTAATCTGGTCTCTAGCATCAGCCCCAATCCCAAAAAGTTATATATAAAAATTGTCCTGGATGATGGTTGTGGTGGGAAAAAATATTCTTTGCATGTGAAATAATAGCTATCAGGAAGCCATGTTACTAACTGTATGCATTCCTTGACTTGCTCATTGTCTACATGCAAAGAATATTTTAGATGGTAAGGATGATAGAGAAGGAAAGTCATAATATGTGCTGAATACATACATTGGCCATCCGAGAAACAGTTCAAGTCCTAAATGAAAAGAGTGTTGAGGATCCTACCTGACTGTAAGAATCAAAATTTTCAGGCTTGTCATAACAAACCAATAACTACCTATTCTTGAGAATCCATTGCAGCGTGTGTGCATTAGAAAGTCTTCGGCAAAAGAAGCACAAAATCTGAAGGCAGAGCAACCGGATTATTGCAGTGATGAATCTCCTGATATAGAAGCAGGCAGTATTTTAAGAGCTCATGGATGCCAATTTGCATTCTGGCCTTTTGGAGTATTACAAGAAATTGGGACTTCTAAGTTATAGGTAAAAATGGAACAGGAACTACTCACATTCTATCCTTTTAAAAGCACCCCCAAACCTGTGAAATGGCTGAAAATGTTTCCAGGATTGTTACATAGTTTTAGGCGTGGGAATTAGTTTGCCTCCATCGATCTTCCCAGTCCACCTTCACGCTTAATTTGAGCGGGGTGGGTGGGTGATGATGATGATGATGAAGTAAACCTGTATGTCGCCCAACTCTCAATGACTCTGGATGGCTCAGAACAATCAAACAAAGATATTTCAAGAAAATCAGTAAATCATAAAAAAATAAAGATAAAAGGCTGATGAAGTGTGAAGGTCCCACTCTCCCTCACAGGAAAAAATGGATTTGACACAAAAGCACTGCAATCTTGGAGTGGTTTTCAGAGAGGTGTTTGCTTTGTTATCTTTTCACTCCGCTGTTTAATAAAATCTTTTCTAAAACTTTGCTAATATATTACTGAATTTTATGTCACAATGAAACATAAAACTTTTATACTGCAGTAGAACTTTTTATCTAATTTTTATCTAAATCATTACTCATTTATTTATTTATTTATTTTATTTAACGTACATGTTACCTGACAGTTCATAGCATAGAAAGATGTAATCCAAATAGAGAACATAGGAATAATCAGGATGGGCAGATCCAGTTATAGACATTACTATACACCCAGGGCCTGGGAGAACCTTCTGGTGAGAGCCACCTGGATCTCAGAGGAAACCTCATTTTATTTGGCAAATACCACAATAGGGAAACTGGAACCTGCCCTGGAAGAAGTAAGAGAACCACAATAAAACAGTGCTCCCTATTTCCAATCCCCAGAGTTAGCCCAGAAGGTATTGTAGTCAGTGGTATCAAAAGCCAGTGAGAAACCAATGAACATAAGGATTAATTCACCACTTCCACCCTGGCTCCATCTCAGATCATCAACAAGTGCAACAAAGGCTGTCTCTATATAAAGTCCTAGCCTGAAATCAGTGAAATGGATTTTTATTCTATTCAGTCCTCTCTGTTTTCATAATTTTTACCCCATTATTTGAATTTCTAATTTATTTCTTTCATAATTATTTTTTTTAAAATTTCTCATCCCATTTGACACTTGAAATAGACTTTGTTTGGAAAGCTGGTATAGAAATTTTTTAAAAATAACCATGACTTCCAGGATGCCTTCTTGTAAAGCTGTTGCATGCTTGTATCATGGTGGTCTGATTATATATAATCCAGATTGTAGCACCATCCCACTGTGCTCAGCAATGAGATCAAATGTTTGCTCTCAATTTCTGCCATTCCATGTTCAAATCTGACAATAGTCATTAGATCATGTTGAGTGCATTCTACAGTTTATTTCTTTAAAATGTTTGGTCACTTTATGGTTATGGAGAAGTGATGGATAACAATTTTCATTTTGAGAGATCAAAATCTTTGAAGAAACCCTAGTCCTCAACGTATCCCACTTTCAACTGCATTTATGGCACAAATCAAATATTTGTGAAGAAGAAACAATGTGTTAGGCCCCCAAAACGAAGAAAGAAACATTGAGATTTTTCTGAGCTTATTTCTTTAGTATTGTCACCTATGGATAGAAATCTTGCCAGACTAAAGCAGATCGTGTGCATCATATATAGAGCTGACAAGTAATAGGAAAAGGCCATTTTCACCCTCTTTCTCTCATGCAAACCATTTAAACTGTGTTGTCTTTTGCTGCTTCAGAATGCCTACCCTCTCCCCTGGGAATTTGACAATATCCATCACACAATGTGGAGTTGATCCATAACTAGAAGGGAGAAGAACTCCAAACTTCAGGGGAGATCTTACAAATCTATCCATAAGCTTGATGTGCTCTCCAGACATGCAGATTTTGTTGTTGGAGTTCTGGTTTGGATACTGTGTTCTAATTTGCTTTTGGTTACCCTGCTTTAACTCTCCCAATATGAAAAAGGAACTATAGATGTACCTGATGGTAGCACCATAGGGAGGAGAAGAAAAAGTCATGGATTCAGCCTCTTAGTTACTATCGGTATCTGTTCTCTTATTACTCTTTTCCCAAAAGATATTTCTCTATTCCTATGAACATCTTTTGCTCTTTAAGTTCTTTCCTTTTATCTTGGAATTCTGGGGAATCTCTGCAGCTACCATACAGCACCTCAGAATAGCAAAGATTATATTATATTATAATCCAATATTCATTCTTTGTTAGCATAAAAGAAATATATGTGGGCGTTTATGTGCATCAATAAAAATGCAAAAGCTAAGAAGGATCTTGTCCAATGTGAACAATCTCTGAAGAAACAGCAACTGTGAAATGCCAGTAGAAAAAAAAAAAAGATACCCCACAGTTAATTATGGAGTGGGAATACAATGGGAAGTAATGTGCTTTGGATAGTAGAAAAAATATACTAGCAATCTCCCAAATGGAGGGTCAAGTGTTCAGAGGAATCTTAAAAGAGACCAAACAATCTTCCTGTTCTGCTTGCGAAAAAATTTGATTACTGCAAATGGAAATTATGGCTTTACAGTGCTGAAGGCTTACTGTAGTTGGTGATTTTGCCACAATGCGGATACTCTTGGGTGTTACAGAAATGGAAGGTTATTTATTAGCAAGCAATTAATGTGTTAGAAGAGCTCTAGCTGGAAAGTGAAAACTGACTTCAGCAGCGGATTTCTTTTTAAAAAGGGAAGATTAAAAAATTAAAGTGATGTAACATTTTCTGAGGGCAAATGAGGGATGGATATTTGTAAGTTTCTGCATTCATGGAAACGGCAAGGACAAGAGACCAAGAAACAAACAGACATTGGTGTTCTGTGAGGGAAATTAAGAAACTGCTTTTGTTATAGCAGCAGTTGAAAGAAATGAGTTCACTTCAAAGGAAAGAGAGAGAAGGTTCTGTTTGACCTTCACTGCAGGTTTTCAGCCCATGTTCTGAAGAACCAAAGTAAAAAATTGGGATGGCAGGGAAATTTCCCATCTTTGAAGAAGAGCTTGTCAAGTGCAGGTAGTCCTCAGCTTACAACCACAATCGGGACCAGAATTTCTATCGTAATGTGTTGAGGTCGCAAGTTGAGTCTGACCGATTCTTCAACAATTTTTACAGTGGTCTTTAAGCAGTTCGCTGTGTTGTTGAGCTAATCACAACTTCTCCAAAATAAATATGCATAAATAAATTGCTAGTTCATTCCATTTTTAAGAAGTTTACCGTCTTAAGAATCCATTTTTTTGCTAGCTTTTAATAAAGGGAGGTTTTAATTATCACTTTTAGGAGACTTTTTTACAATACTACTTTGTTGTTGGAAAACCTTTACAGTTTAAAAAAAGATGAATTGAAAAATGCAAATTTTCAAGCACTGGAAATATATTGTCTTCAAGGAAAAGTATTACAAATGGTTCATCAAATATTCTTGGGTTGGGTGGAGATATAAATTTATTTGTACCTTTAGAAAAAAGCACCGTAGAGCATGCTTAGGAAATGCTGAAGGAAATTAGTAACAAGAATGCTCAATTCAAAAAATTATACTACACTAAATGTCAGGCAAACTGACTGAAAATACTTGGAGAGATGCTGGGGGGGGGGGGCAGGCACAACTGATACTAGGGGAGTATTATTTTCAGCATATTGATACTGGAAGTAGCTGCAATAACTACAGTTTGAAATAATTGGGAAATACTGTGTTCTCATTGAGCTTAGGTTTTTAACTCTGATGAGCAAATTGGAACAGCTTAATTTGCACATAAAGAATGAAGCCCCTTATTTACAGCACAAAAAAAATGCTATTTAGGATTTTAAGGGAACTGGGCTACCAGGACTCATTATGCCTAAAATATGATGCCTGTAAAATAAGTAACTTTCTACTGTTGTTTGAGAATTTTTACAGTCATTCAGGGATTAATACAAAAGGAACATCTTTTCTTATTGCAGCCAGTCCCACGAATTATGGTTCAGCCTGCCAGGATTGATGCCAGTCCCGCAAAAACCCAACAGGTGGGTCCTTCTGAACTGTCCATGGTGCTGAATTGTAACATTGTAACATTGTTGTTACATGGAGCTGGGAGGCAACAGTAATTCCACAACTACTATCAGAATCAATAAAGAACTGAGTTCTCCAAACATGCAAAAAGCTGTTATAGTTATTTATACATTCATGGTGTAGATTGGAGACATTTGTCTATGAATTATCCTAAGCCCCTATGCATATTAAGCTTTCAGTGTCAGAAAGGGAAATCCAACTTGATCCTGCATGAGCCAGATATTCTAATTGCTCAGTTTTCACATAAAAAGATCTAAGACTTGTTGAATTATCACTATTCTATTGTAATGTCATCACTAGTGTGTCCAAAAGCCAGCAAGTGCACAACCACAGCACTATGCCAAGTAAACAGTATTCCATGTTGTAGGTATCCAATGGAATAAGAAACAGGAAGCCAGGTTTGAGGGCTGTATCTCCTTATCTCAGATAATAGCACATTTAGTCTGCATAATATCAGGTGATTCACAATTTTTCTTATAATTCTTCCTTTGCAAATATCACCTTGGAGTCTCCTTGCTTTAGTTGCATCTACCGCACTATAGTTAACTATCTTTCTATCCTCCAAGGTCCTCTTGTAAGGACTGCACCTTCTTCTGCAGAAACATTCCTTTCCATGTGATCTTAAATCAATGGTCTAAAGTTGTTGACTGGAATAGGGAATAGACATGCAGCAAAGTTTATCAGGAGACATTGAAAAAAATCCTCATGATGTCAAGAGTTTGCTGAAGGCATGGGCTGGCAAAAGCCCATGTTTTTTCAAAGTTGGCTGGTGCTACTTCATATTTATTATATTGTGTATATATGCATGTGGGGGTATATATATCATATGCATATTATGAACTGTTAAGCATAGAAAGAGTCATTAATTCTGAAAGTTGTGGATTTGTAGTGTTGCGGTTAACACATTTGGGAAGGAAGCCATTTTTGGCATATGGAGTTACACAAGGTGATACTTGACTTGGAAATGATGATTTATGCCTTCTGTAAATTAAGCCAAATAACTGGGAGAGACTTATAAATCTGGCTTGTTTCCCACTTCACATAAATTGCCTCTTTCAAACAGCAAACATATCTTTCTGTAATATAAATGATCTTTTAGTAAATAATAGGAGTCATATTTCATGTGCTATATGCATTTATATATTAATCCTACTAGACCTTCAGCCTATTAGCCAGACTGCCTCCTTTGAGCCTGTTAATGCTCTAGCATAGAAATAAGCCACACACTCATTGGTATGTGTTATTCATGCTATTTATTTCTACATACTTATTTATTAATGTATTTTTAGTTTCCCCACCACCCTAAGGATCGCAAAGTGGATTACAAGCTATAAAATGCAGAAGATAAAACAATAAATGAGCCTATAAAATGTGTAATTCCATAAGGTGATACATTCATCCACTCTGGATATCAATGTATCCTAAAATTGTTAATTTTGAATGTCTCTTATCCCAAATCATAGTCTTCTTCAGACTATGAGAATTCTCACATTTTGAATAATGGGTGAAGCTTCCTTCATAGGGATGGGGAAAGGAATTTATGGACATTTTGTATTAATGAATGCAAGGCCTCTGAGTTGTTGGTATACTCTTAAGAATTCCTGCATGATATACTGGACTTCCTTCTCTCTGTCCATGTACTATAGGTCCAATCGCAATTGCAGACAGTATGTCAACCTTACGAAGTAGACCTGATAGGAAACATGACCAGATCAGCTAATTTCATTTTATTGTAAAGCTGCATTAAAATGAAAATACAATTCTTCCCTTGCCAACCTTAATAGCCTGAAAAACTGTATTTGTGAGCCCACTATCCAGCTGCAGTATGTTGTTTCTTACTCGGCCATACCCTTGGCAGTGTCATTTTGCCCCCATGGTTTTCCCCACATACCATTATATAGTGGGGGACATATATGCTTCCTGGAAGGGAAAAAAACAACAACAGCACAAGGAAGTACAAGTAGATTAATATGCTCTCTCTGCTTCTTTAAATTACAGAAACTGTATCTCAGAACCCTAGATACTGGGGAATCAAAGGACACAGGGCATTCCCTTCACCTCTGACTAAGCATTTTTAGAAATGGGATGAAAAACCAGATGGATCTTGGATGATGCAGGAAGGCTGCTCTTGTTTGCCCTTACCCAAATCCATCTTTCATCTTCAACTTCCTTCAAAATATAAATCAAAATGTGGCAAGCCTCTTCAGATATGGCAACCGAAGTTAAACAAATGTATAGTTTATCTTTGTTGTGTTGTTTTCTGTTTTCCTAAATGTAAGTTTGACAATCTCTGACCCTTTTCTGCTTCAGGTTACCGAGGGACAAGGAAGCAAAGGACCTTTTGAGGTGGCTTTGCAGTTGACAGAGTTGGGGAAGAACCTTGAAAAACCAACCAAAGTGCCTTTACAGCAGTCCACAGTGGACATCCAAGCACAAGATTCTCAAGAAGGTCCACCAAGTCCCTTGAGTGAAGCCTCCAGTGGATACTTCTCTCACAGTGTTTCTACAGCAACCCTTTCTGAAGCACTTGCATCAGGAAACGACCCCCATCTTCAACCCAGTAGTCAGACCTCCACCACAAATGATGCCCCCTCAATTTCAAAAACTCCTAAGGTGGTGTCTTCAACAGATAATCCTATAAAATCATGTTCTGATTTAGCTTCTCAATGTTGCCATTCTCTTCCAAAGAGGGATCCAGTTCTCCCTGGCCTTAAAGATGATCAAATAGACAATGAGAAAATGAGCTATAATGGCAACTTAAAATCAAGATCTGTTGATTCTGCTATTGCTCTAAATGATGATCAGGTTTCTCCCTCCCTAGTTACTGAAGATACACATTGCTGTTCTATCTCTCCTAATAAGAAACAAATACAATTGACACAGACAACCATCTTATTACCATCAGAGAGCCCTCCTTCTGTCCCAAAGGAGGTTCCCATTTATAAAACAGGACCTTCAAAATCTCCAGCTACGGTTGACCTGCCTTCTCAGTCCAGCACTACAACTTCTCCCTTCAAAATCCAAAGAGTACGAACATCAGAACTCAAGTCCTTCTCCAGTATGTTGAGTGGGGATCCGGGAGCTTCTTTGTGTTCAGAGGAAGAAAAGAGCAGACAGAATTCAGAAGACTCAGAAGACCAGAACAACAGCGTAGATGCTGGTTCTGAAGAGAAGTTGGATGCAGCAGCATCTGACTCAGAAGAAACCAATGAAATCCCAGACTGGCTGAAAGAAGGCGAATATGTAACTGTTGGCACGAATAAAATAGGCACTGTGAGATATGTTGGTCCAACAGACTTCCAGGAGGGAACCTGGGTTGGAGTTGAGTTGGATTTGCCATCAGGTAAGTGTTGAGAAATGTTGTTGGGATGCAGTAAGGTGTGCAGGAAATGGTAGTGGCTGGCTTCGGTGGTTGTTTTTGTTTCCCTCGATCCACGGGTGATTCCCTCAGACCTTTATCTCTTATTGAAGTCTGTCTAGTTTCTTTCACTGTTCTCCAGTGTAGGTCAGTCGCACATAGAAATTTTTCTTAAGGCACGTAGAGCAGTGCAGGTGGAAAAAGTCACCAGTTTGGTGAGCCTTTCTCCTTAATGTCCAGTACTGTTTGAAATTCTGCCACCTTCCACTTGGATAGGTTCATCATCCCCTGGATTAATCTCTACTGAAAAGGGGAATCAACCTGCATTCAGATACAGTTCCTTCAACAAAAGTGATTGGAAATAGGGTGACTCATCCAGAGCATACATGGAAATCTGTCTGACTGTAAAGGATTTCTTTACTGAGTGGCATAACCCACATTTGCATCCACAAGATTTGTGGATGAGTTCAATTAGTCTGGTTCAATTTGCAACTATCTCCCATTTAAAAGCCTGGCGAATTAGCCAGAAGAGGCAATAGTGGGCAGCTTCATATGACCAGAAGCACTGATTGTGAAAATGCAATTCCACTAGGCTTAACTTTGTATTTTGAATGGCAAAGAAAACTTGAAAACATATGATATTATATTTGAATTCATTCATTCATTTATTGGGTTTTAGGTAAATAAAATAACTCTAGATGGTGTACAGTTAAAATCAGAAAAGTCATGTAAAATGTTCTATCAATAAGAAGAAGCAGTCAAGGATAGAATTATTAAAGTTAAAAGAGGGGAGTGAGGGACTTTGAGGCACTAACTAAATAGAAGGGTTTTGGTTTTTTTTGGTTCTCTGCAAGCCCCATATGAGTCTTCAGACTCTCCCCAAAGACCAGGAGAGTGGGGGCCTGCCTCGTCTCTTGCGGGAGGATATTCCAAAGGACAGGGACTTCTGCCTCTACTTCTGAGCTTCCATATCAAGATGAAAGCCTTGATAATATATGCTGAATACGCAGCATGCTGAAAATATGCCATAGAAAATAAAAATGTTTATTATAAGACTGTATCGTTGCTCTGAATTAATTTGTGCAACTACCACCTCAGTTAGCAGGAAGGAGAGGCTTACTTTCCTAAGCAATTTTTATGGAGCCCAGGAAACATTATTGGTGGTAGAGAAAGTGTCCTGTGTGCTGATGTGTAGCCAAATGCTGCCATGGGGGTGCTATGTCATCGAGCAACATGTTTTATTGAACTACCTATTGCCCAGCATCCACTAGGCAGTATCCTTAGCCAAGATGCATTTATTTCATGATTTAATGAAACAACCCTTTTCAAAGAAAATCTCTTTATCTCAAAGGTAAGAACGATGGTTCAATTGGAGGCCGGCAGTACTTCAAATGCAATCCAGGCTATGGGCTCCTTGTGAAGCCAAGTCGAGTCAAAAGAGCTACAGGTTCTGCAAGGCGGCGGAGTGCTGGAATGAAACTACAGGGCACAACTGGGACCGCAACTGAGCACCGGCGGAGTGGCACCTTCTCAGGCTCTGCCTCCAACTTGGCTTCTTTGACTGCTTTAGCCAAGACAGAAGGAGGATCAGTTCCACGGACTGAGAAAAGTAAAAAGAATGCAGAAAACAGGAAATCATGGGCTACTTGAGAGCATCTCCCAAAGGGCATGTCTGCCTGGCTCGCAACACTACTGTGTGAAACTGACCCTTCCTTCCTTCCTTCCCTTCCTTCCCTTCCCTTCCCTTCCCTTCCCTTTCCTTTCCTTTCCTTTCCTTTCCTTTCCTTTCCTTTCCTTCCTTTCCTTCTTTCCTGAATGGCCTTTCTTTGCACTACTAAGCCAGTTGGAGGAGATGGTTGATGTGTGTCAGAGTATATGAGTATTCTGGATTTCTTTTACTGAAATTTGTTGGTCTTTGTCATGATGGAGTAACATTAGGCTCTTGATGCAAATGGTGACCTTTCCCAGTGTGTTTTTCCAAATCTCTCCTTTCATTCCCCAGCCATTCAAAGGAAGTCTTCTATAAGAGATGTTGGCAGGGCTTATTTTCTTAGAAAGACTGCCAAATGCTGCTTACTAGCAAAATGTTGCCCTTCCAAGTCTCATCATTAAACCACAGTGAACCAATGAGAATCATAGAATTTGGCAGATCACAGCCTATTGGAAAAAGTGCCTGTCTTTAAGACTTCTTTTATGATCTTTAAACTGTTCTTGTTGATATCAGTGGGGAAATATTGTCCCTCGTTCTACTGGAATGACGATTGGGGACTAGCATACATGCACATTGCTTTTCTTTTCTTTTAAAATTCTCAATCCAATCTGTGATTACAGTCTAACATATCTGACCTTTTCCATTTAAATGGAAGAGTAAATAGTGCATTTTTTTTCTTCTAGTGGTTTATTATTATGGTTGGCTACACAGTCAGACAGAGGTTTAGATCGGATTTGGCTTTTTTATCAACCTATCATGTCCTTCCCCAAGGACCTTGGGCAGGCAGATGTTATTGTTTCATGTTAAAGGTTTTATTACTATTATTATTATTATTATTATTTTCAGCATTCCCTTCAGTGCTGTTGTATTTATAAAGTAAACCTCAGCATTTGGCATTCTTTGCCTTTGTTTTAAGTAACATAACACAAAGAGGGAATTCAAAGCCCTAGAGGTAAGGTGGGCCTTCCTTACGATCTGGATTTTCACTAGTGATAAACCTGGTTAAACTATGTGTGTCCATGTTGCTAGAGCTATATATTTATTTGTTATTTATTGTTTTCTTTTTAAAGAGAAGCGTAGGGAATCCCTTGCGACTTACAATCAACCCACTGCCTACCGTTGCACAGAAACACACACGGTTCAGGGTAATCATCTTCTTTCCATATACTCACCCTGTCTTCCTCCCATGGAAGAAGAGGGGGTGAATTCAAAATGAATATACGTTTTTTGTGCCTGCAGGATTTTGAGGTCACAACTTGAATGCTGTGCATAATTTCCATGGGTGCAATTGGATCTTATCTGCAGAACTTTTAACCAGCAATGGCTTCTCCATGGCTTGAAAATCTCTGTTGGATAAGTCCCACCAGGGAGATAAAATTAGCTTTGTTGCCCAGATAGAAAGAGGTTTAGCTATTTTTAAAATGAGGGTAAATAGCTCAGGGGTGAATCAGATGCTTTGCCTGCAGCAGGTTCCAGGTTGAAGCCAGCTACGGAGAGCGCTGAGAAAGGTCCTTGCTCAACAAAGACTCAGGAGAACAATTGCCGGGAAGCTGTGTTACATGGGCCAGGGGTTTGGCCTTGGATAATCTGGCTTCTGATGCTCCTTTGGAAGAAGGCAGGAATATCCAAAGTAAAATGGTTGGGAATTGAGCAGAGGGATTTTATGGAGGATATTAGGCAATGGCAGACGTGCCTAAATGATGCCAATGAGAGGAAAAATCTTTCAGCTCCACAGTTGCCACCAAAAGATAACAGAGACTGAGAAGGAGAGCTGCTGGACTATTCTAAGGGCTTGCTTTGTAGCATATAAATTCCCATGACCTATATTTTTATATCCTCCTTCCATATGCTGCTAATAGACTCTCTTTGTACTGGTGAGCTTAAGGAAATTGATCTAACTATTACATCTTAAATGACTTCCTTCTGTACTAATCTGATTTTCTAACTGAAGAAAACTGTTTTACAATTAAAGCTGCTGCTAAGGAGAATGAAGAAATTGGTAGCAGCACTTAGCAGTTTCCATTTTCTCACTTGCTTTGTGTATATATTTTATGGTTGTAGAACATTTACATGATTTCAAGTGGTCTTTTTTTTTCAACAAGAAAGACGATTTCGAAATCTTAAAAGACCTTCCTGCCAATCCAGGCAGGATGAAATTACATTGAAGCCTTGTTAAAATCAATGCACTAATAATGTTCTTAGATTTCTGCCCTCCTTCAGGACTGCTTTATTGGGTGGGTGACAAACACTAGAAGAATGGCCAAACACTGTCCTGCTTACAACTATAACTTGGATGGCTACTTTCTGTTTAACTGCCTACTATTGAATTTTAATTTTTTTAATCATTTTTATTAAAAGTTTTACAAAGGATATAAAAATGAACAACTAATAAAAATAAAAAGAGGAAAAGGTAGATAAAAAAAGACAAAAAGGCAGAAAGAAAGAAGAATTATTATTATTATTATGATGTGCAGGCCTTTTCCAAGTCTTTCCCATGCACTTTATCCTAAAGCAGGGCTGTCAAACTCCTGGCTGGCAGGCCAACTGTGTCACGTGCTGGCCACGCCCACGCTTGGTTTAGCGAAGGGGGGGAAAGTCCCGATATGTCACATGATGCCACCATGACACCGTGAGTTTGACACCCCTGTCCTAAAGGAAAACAGAGCTAACCCCATAAGAAATGTTGACAGGCTGTGGACAATTTAGAGTTTCTTTAGAACAGTGATTTTCAAATGTTTTCAGTCCACATTATAGGACCTATTAGTTAAAAAAAATCCCAGGATCCTTATCAAGAGAGAGTTCCGGTGATAGAAAACTGGCTGTATGAGAGGGAACCTTTTTATTTTTGCCCTTAGACTCTCACATAACCCTATCAAGTTTTCATAAAACTCTAGGCTTCCATGGGATGCAGTTTTAAAAACCCTGATTTAGATACTTGTAGGTTTGGGGTCACTATAATCTCTGTACCTGCTCTCTCTCTCTCTCCATCTCTAAATGCTGAGTCCACTTTTCCCAACAATATAATCTGTATTTTATTCAGCAACCAAGGTACACTATCTATAATGCAGAACAGCTTTCAAGATTCTTTTGAAAAAATAGTGAAGAAAGAGGAAACAAAAAAGTGTTGACTTAAAAGCAAACTGAGGGGGTAAAGAGATTCCCACTGGTTTTCTGGACTGGAAAAATGAACTTTATAAGACAGAGCCGCCTTTTCCAATAGTGAAATTCTTCTCTCTCCCTCCCCCTTCTCCCAATTAAGCTCTATTTCTGTTCTTAAGGCAAATAGAGCAGGGATGGCTCTGATGGATTAAGAGGTTTTCCCCAGCTTCAGGAAGCGGTGTTAACAAAGGTGATTCCCTTGTTCAAATGGGTTTTTGAAATATTGTTGAGGTTCTGGTAGTGCCGTTTAGAAAACAATATTCCTTTTGTTTCCGTCCATTAACTTCTAAAGCAAAAGCTTTCTGAAGTGCTCTGCTAAAACCACCATCCCAGACTTCTCTGCAACTAAGAAGTCTGTCTTAAACATTAAAATGTGTCTAAAATGTTACCTAATTGATTTACTACTGCATTCCTTTTGCACGTGATTTGCATCCAGCCATTTTAAGCAAAACAATAGTTGTGTTAAGCATCTGTGACACTGCCTTGTGTCTTATGACATGTAATTCCAATAGCTACAGCTGTTTCGTTTTAACCAGGCCACAACCATGGTGCCTTAATTCAAAAACTGGTCGACCATTACCTCCCACATGTCTACTGCTTCCCTCACTTTGCAGGGCAATTGGCTTATACTGCAAGCTTGTGGGTTTTGGGTTTTTTTGCAAAGTGTATGGATTCAGAATGTTTTGGTTGCCATCATCTTTCTTTGTCAAAGTTCGTACCTTCATGGAAGAGATTCGAAGACTAGAAATTGAATAGGATAGAAATAGAATAGAACTCTATGGTGCATGACGAGCATGTGCACCATAGCACCTTCATAAAGAGGCTGTGTTATTTCAGTCTGTAATACATCAGACCTGGAGATTGACCATATCATGTGATGAGTAGGTCAGCCATGTAGTTGGAACAGTTCCTTCTAGTGAAACTACGATAATGGCTCTGTTTGTAAATTGCCCTGACAATGTACAAAACTCTTTATGTTGAGATAGTATGGAATTGTCACTTAAAAGTTCTTAGGATCTAAGTTCAAACTCCCATGTAGCCCCAAAGTTCACTGGGTGTGAATGGAAACCTCTATCATATCTTTATCTAATAGGCTGCTTGTCACTTACTTTAAGGCAAAATGGAATTTAAATTAATCAATGCAAAAATTACATAATTCTCGTCTACATAACTCTTCCTTTTTTATTAGCACACACCCTTCATAATCTTGATTGGTGCCAACTAATGTGTTGCATCCATTGATTTGGCACTGTTACATACTAAGCAGTGTTTAATAATGACAACTGGCACACAGTGGAATATAGGATCCTGCATGATTCCAATCTAAGGCATCATCCTGTCTGCTTGAAAATTGAGAGATTCTTCATGGCATCTCTTTACAGTTCTTACACGGTTTCTTTTCAGGGTCCCAATGCCTTTCTTTTGGGCAGAAAAGTGTGATAAAAGTAATAATATTTTGTATCAGCATTTTAAAATCATTTTTACTGAGATGAGGCCAAAAGCCACATGGAACTCTGTTCAGCATGACAGTATTTGCAGGGCCTCTCATGACTCTCATCACTGCACATCTAACATGATGTTCACATTTAAGGTATCCTGAAAGACCTACAAACAGAAGATGAGCTTATGTTTAGAAAGCAAGTTCACCTTCCAAGCAACTCTATCCACTAGGCTACCCAAAGCATTTCATTGCCTGGACACTAACTTCCTGTTTTCGAGAAGCTGTTTCTTGTCTGTCGATTTTGTAAATGTTGGGAGCCTGTATATAAAGAGCAAATGTTGAGACTGGTTTTCAGAAGTATTGTTGGTTGTACCTTTTTAAAAGATGCTAAAATCCAAAGATTCTTGTAATGAAGTGTAAAGTTTGTAATGCTCTCTCTTGTATTATATACTAAACTTGTAATATTGTACCATATCTGTGACAAATGTTACCTAAATAAAATACTTTCCTTCTGTCAAGCTCGTTCCTGTATTTCAATGTCCCATGCCCTGATGTAGGGTCTGTCTAAGTTAGGATTTCTCTCCAAATTTCGTACCTAATATATTTCTTTAAAGCTCATATGTCATTCCATTAATCTGACAAGAAAATGTTTAACCCTTTCAACTAACCTGTATGTGCAATGTGTGCTTTCACAAAAAAAGCCACTATGCTATTCATCCTTCATGTTTTATTCTTGTTTTAATGAAATGTCCATTTGCTTTGCTTAGTTTTGAGAGTATGTCCAGTAAGCTAGAAAGAGTAAATGGGTTTAGTGGGTGAATGTTTCCTCTGAATGTTTAGTGGGTCTCTTATCCAATCACTCCTAAATTAGTTTAATCAATGACTTGAACATTGTCAAAAATCTAGGAAGTTTGTATCTCCACCTCTGCACTAGTTAATTTTGAAATAATTTGGAAGAACGTGTCTCTGAAGGACTCAAACTAATTATTTAGTTGTTTCTTTCATTATGCCTAACTGTTCAAGCATATTTTTTGTCTTTTAATGACCCCATAATCCCTTACATCAGGGTGGAGTTGGGGCAACTGAATTGAGCAGTTTACTGGATGGATGCCCTTCCTATCGCCAATGCAGGGTTTGTAGCAGATTCATTGTGCCCAGAGAAATATCTGCTGCTACCTAGAATCAAATTCAAAACCTCCTGATTGTGAGGTGTGAGCTCCATCTCTAGGCCACTGCACCACTCATTTGTTCATTCAAGCATGATTTTGTGTGTATGTATGTATGTATGTATGTACCCTGTTTCTCCAACAATACGGCCTCCCCCAATAGGAAGTCCCAGCATGTTTTATAGGCATGAAATGAAATTAAGCCCCTCTCCCCAAAGTAAGGCCTATATTAAAACATGCGAAATGGGGGGGAAATGGCGGGGGGGGCTTGCTGTTACGAAGTACTTTTGTTGCACACCCGGATATGGTGCTGCCTGTGTTGACCCTGATACAAAGTGCCCCACCAACGCCAAGGTCAACATCCAAGCCATCGCCGCCTGCCCTAAGATGCAAGGGGCAGGGGGAATTAAGTCACCCCCGAAAAGACAGCCCAGCCATTTTTTCGGGGTTCAAAAAAAAATAAGACCCAGCCTTATTATATGAGAAACACGGTATGTAAAAATAGTCTGAGATTTCCAGGATTTCTAAAGTTTATAAATCAGCTGCATTTGCTAAGAGTAACCATATAATATACATCATTGTAATATCTCACAACACAGGGCATCTAATGCTCAGTTCTGCAGTTCTCCATAAATACTTCGATGCTGACTAGATGGAGCAACTGTCTCATACAATATACAGTTTTCCTACATGTTTACACCAGTTTGTTTTGTATGGTGAATCTAGGGCAGCTTCTAATCAGTGGTGGGATTCAAAAAAATTTATTACCGTTCTGTTGGCATGGCTTGGTGGGCATGGCTTGGTGAGTGTAGCAGGGGAAGGATACTGCAAAATCCCCATTCCCTCACCACCCCACTAACCTGCTTTCCAGCTCCATTCTCCTGTGCAGGGCAACAAAAGAAGACCCAGACAATCACCTGGGACTCAGGAAGCAGAGGATAGGGGTGGGGGCAGTCAGAGGTGGTATTTGCAGGTTCTCCGAACTACTCAAAATTTCCTCTACCAGTTCTTCAGAACTGGTCAGAACCTGCTGAATACCACCTCTGCTTTTAACAACCTGCAAGCAGAATATTGGGGCCAGCCATGACTTCTGGCTATGGGACTAGAATAGAGAAGGCTGACTATAGATTTTTCTTCAAGAAACTAAAGCTTACAGCTACCTCACCTTTTACAAATTGCTGAAATCCTGCCTACCGCATGGTTGGGCTCACCATCATATCGCAGTCTTATCTTTTTTGATATAGGACCCATAGAAATGATTGATATATAAAACCTTATAATAAACAAACTATCTGAATACTGTAGGCCCATGTATTCTATTTATTTATTTAATTTTGTCAAGCATGCATTTGATAATATATATAAGTATAAACATGATTATTAATACATGAAATAGATACAAATAAAAGGGAACATTAAGACAGGGACAGTAGGTGAGCTTATGTACACCCCTTATAGATCTCTTAGGAATGGGGTGAGGTCAACAGTAGACAGTAAGAGGCTAACGTTTTGGGGTTAGTGGAAGAAACCACAGAGTCAGGTAGAGTATTCCAGGCATTGACCACTCTGTTGCTGAAGTCCTATTTCCTGCAATCGAGTTTTGTGCGGTTTACCGTGAGTTTGTATCTATTGTGTGCTCATGTATTGTGAGATTGAAGCTGAAGTA